CTCCTAGGTATATATTTAACAGAAATGAATGCCTATGTTCACCACAAAATAGGTACAAGAATGTTCACCTCAGCAGTATTTGCCTAGCTCCAAATTAAAAATAATCTAAATGTCCATTGATAGGAGAATGGATAAATACATTATGGTATATTCACATAATAAAATGTTATATAGCAAGGAGACAGCATGTACTAAAGGTGTGTGCAACTATATGGCTAAATCTTACAAACATAAATATGTCTTCACAAACAGAAAACATATTTCATTTATGTTAAGGTCAAAAATGGGTAAAACTAATCTATGCTATCCTAAATATAGATTATGGTTACCTGCTGTGGTTTGAATAGTTTGTCCATTCTGAAATTCTTGTTGAAATTTAATCCCTGTTATAAGGTGGGACCAAGTGGGACTTTTGAGGGATAATTAGGGCTCTGCCCTCATTAATGGATTAATCCATTGATGTGATTATTGGGTTAATGGGTCATGAGTTATCTGAAAGTGGGTCTACTATCAAAGTCAATTTGTTTAGGTCTCTTACACTCTCCCTGTTTCCATGTGTTGCTTCAGAACTCTGCCAGCAAGAGGCTATAACCAGATGTGACTTCTTGACCTTTCATCAGAATCATGAACCAAAATAAACTTCTTTGTAACTTACTCAGTTTGTGGTGTCATGTTATCAACAACAGAAAACAGACTAAGACCCAAGAGGGGCTGTGACTGGGAAGGGACACAAGGGCTTCTGGGATGTGTTCTGTGACTTGGTTTAGATGCTACTCACTTTATAAAAACTATTATCCAGGACTGAGTATATAGCTCAGTTGGTAGTGCTTGCCCCTCATGCACAAGGTCCTGGGTTCAATCCCCAGCACCACAAACAAAGAAAAAAACTATCATCTAACTTAACATTTTTCTCCATGTGTGCTACTTTTAAAAGATTTTTAATTAAAAAAATTGAACAAATTATATTGTTATATCATGTGCATGTATGAATATGTAACAATGAATCCCATTATTATGTATAATTAAAATGTACCAATTGAAAAAAGGTAGAGAAAGTCTTAGTGGGCCATGGTGACATACACCTGTAATCCTAAAGACTGCAGAAGCAGGGGCAGGAGTATCACAAGTTTGAAACCAGCCTCAGTAACTTAGAGACAACCTGTCTCAAAAACATTTTAATATTATAAAGGTTAGGGATGGGCTGGGATTGTGGCTCAGTGGCAGAGTGCTTGCCTTGCGCATATGAGGCACTGAGTTTGATCCTTAGCACTACATAAAAATAAATAAAATAAAGGTATAAAGGTATTGTGTCCATCTACAATTAAAAATTTAAAAAAAAGAGAAAGGACAAAATAGTATTTTTCTTGATGTTAAATTTATTCAATTCTTAAATTCTGAGTCTTTTACCTTTTTTGGTATTAAGATGTTAATTCTGGTCTGAGGTTATGGCTCAGCTAGCATGTGCGAGGCCCTGGGTTCGATCCTTAGCACCACATAAAAATAAATGCATTGTGCTGTGTCCATCTACACACACACACACACACACAAAGTTAATTCTTTTATGATATATGGTCATAATATAGATATACGTATGTGAAATATAGAATTATATATGTGTATGTGTGTGTGTGTATTTATTTTTGCAGTGCTCGGAATTGAACCTGGGGCCTTGTGCATTAAAATAATGGTCATGGACAACTGCAGTTGGTCATGTCTCTGCCTGACAATATAATAAGTTTTATGCTCCCTCTTATTTCACAACTGGCTTACTGGCTTATAAAATAAAAAAAGTCTGGATAGCTTCATCCGTTTTTTTTTTTTTTTTTCAGTGCTAGTGATTGAACTCAGGCATGAAGCATGCCACAAACATTCTACCATTGGGCCATATCCCCAGCCCTTTTGTCTCATTCTTGTGCTGCTTCTGGCTCAGAACTTGCTACCAAGAAAAAAATTTAAATGTGCATCCACATGTACTTGTGGATATGGTTGATCCACATTCTATCTTTTTGTTGTTGTTGTTGTTATTATTAGAGATTGAACCCAGGGTGCTCTACCATTGATCTATATTCTCAGATCTTTTTTTTTTTTTTGGAGACAGGATCTCTCTAAGTTGCTGAGGTCAGCTTTAAACTTGTGATTCTCCTGCCTTAGCCTCCCGAGTAGCTGGGATTACAGATATAGCCCCATTGTAAAGCAGGCACATATTTAACTCTATCTAGTATATACTAGAATATCTATTCTTGTCTATTGCCCAAGAATTCTTCTCAAGTCACCAATCTCTTTTCTGTACTGCAGAAGATAGAAAATTAAAAACTGTATTTCACAGATTTTCTTGCAGCTAGGATTCTAGCTATAAATTATGGATCTATCAATAATTTGCACACTGGAGAAACTTGATAAATGAAAGTCAGGCACAGGGCATATTCTGGCTGCACTAGCTGCTCCTGCTGGCCAGCTTTTCTTTTCTTTTTTCTTTTTTGTACTGGGTATTAAATTCAGGGGCACTCAGCATTTTTTTTTTTTTTGGATACAGGGCCTTGCTAATATGCTGAGGCTGGTTTAGAACTTGGGATCCTCCTGCCTCAGCCTCCTGAGCTGCTGGGGATTACAGGCATATACCACCACCACTGGCTTGTTGGCTTTTCTGTAGCAGTGTTGCAATGCTTAATTACTGTATTCATGGTTAATGAAGACTGTTGAGGCAGCATTAGCAGTAGGTCGTTGATTCCTGGATCACAGGCATGGTGATGTGCTCTTCAATTCAAAGCATAGTGTAACTATGTTTTGACTATGCATAAGAATGAATTCCTAGATCACAGGCAGGGTGATGTGCTTTTCAATCTATGCGTAAGACTATAATGTAGTTATGCATAGTCTAACCAAATAGTCTTCATTTCTCTCCTTTCTGAAGCTCCCCTCATGGGCTTAGAGCAATTTCTGGAATATAACAGAGACCCTGTCCCTCCAATACTTTCAAAGATTTTGTAAGTACTTACATCCCTATATTAAAGCCTTTTCTACTTAAGGGGGTTTCTGTTTAGTGCAACCCACTCTGACAAATCATACCTGACTGAGCCACAATAAGTACATTGTCCCTTCTATGCCTCAATAAGTTCCTCTTATACTCTTATGTCCCTTTTTTTCCTTTTTCCACAAATGCCAAATGAAGTGTAACATGTTGCTTTCATCCCTGATCTTTTGAGGTTTTATAGCTGCTTCTTGGGTCTCCATAGATGAAAGAAACTCAATTACCATTATTTCAAAAGAGCAGGCAGCCAAGCTCCAATTAAGGATTTTTCTAGAACCCAAGGCTCTATTTTACTCAATATCTCTTGTTGTTACCAGTCAAGATACCACTTTTGGGCTGGGCATGTAGCTCAGTGGTAAAGTACTTGCCTAGCAAGTGCAAAGTACCAGGTTTATTCCATTCCCAGTAAATGTGCACACACATGCATGCAAACACACACACACACACAACCTTTTTATTTGTTTAAGGGCTTGGATCTGTGACTGGGAACAATAATTTTTTGGGGGGGTGTATCAGGGATTAAACTCAGGGGCACTCAACCACTGAGCCACATCCCCAGTACTATTTTGTATTTTATTTAGAAACAGGGTCTCACTGAGTTGCTTAGAGCCTCGCCATTGCTGAGGCTGGCTTTGAACTCCAGATCCTCCTGTTTGTGTCTCCTGAGCCACTAGGATTACAGGTGTGTGCCATGCACCCGGTAATAATTTTCTTTTTCCTTTCTTAGACTTGGTGCTGGGTTCTACATTATCAACTTCCATGCCCCTTCCGTAATCCCTGACAATTTGTTTTGTCTTACAGAGTATAACTAAAGGAAAAGAGTGCTATAAATGTATTAATTATTAACTTAAAAATAATTTTTTGTGGAGCCTGGGGTTGTGGCTTAGTGGTAGAGCACTTGCCTCACACATGTGAAACACTGGGTTTGATCCTCACCACCACATAAAAATAAATAAATAAAATAAAGGCATTGTGTCTATTATTAAAACATATTTTTAAAAAATAATTATTGTTTTTGCATGACTTATTTAGCATTACTAGGAAGGAACTGTGGTTTTCTTTCAAACACTTTAAAAAAAATTTATGGAGACCTGGAAAGAAGTTGTTTATTTGGAAGTTGTTTATTAATGTGTGAGATTAGAAATGAGCACTTTTAGGGCTGGGGATGTGGCTCAAGCGGTAGCGCGCTCGCCTGGCATGCGTGCGGCCCGGGTTCGATCCTCAGCACCACATACAAACAAAGATGTTGTGTCCGCCGAGAATTAAAAAATAGATATTAAAAAACTCTCTCTCTCTCTCTCTCTCTCTCTCTCCCCCCCCTTTCAAAAAAAAAAAAAAAAAAAATGAGCACTTTTAGAATAAGTAGAGGTAGAGGATAGAATTCTAAAGAATACCTCATTCAGGGAAGGTTGGAGGAAGAAGAACTAGTGAGTGAAATTATAAAAGACTGGTAAAAGTGAGAATAGAAATTGGGATAGAAAAGCTCTCTGATGTCAAGAAAGAAAAGGGGTTTTCAAAGGCAAGCAGGATCAACACTGTTGATTGAACAGGACATGTGGAGAAGGACCCATTGGGAGGATGTTGATGGCCTTTAATTTTATTTTTTGTATTGAGGAGTGAACGCAGGGGTGCTCAACCACTAAGCCCACATCCCCAGCCCTTTTTTATATTTTATTTAGAGACAGGGTCTCCTTGAGTTACTAAGTGCCTCAATAAGTTGCTGAGGCTGACTTTGAACTGGCGATCCTCCCGCCTCAGCCTCCTGAGCTCCTGGGATTAGAGGTATGCACCACTAATCTTCCTCCATGAGATTCTGCCTCATGTGTGGTGGCCTTTAAAATGAACATATAGGCCAGGCCTGGTGGTGCATGCCTGTAATTCCAGCAACTGGGGAGACTGAGGCAGGTGGATCACAAGTTCAAGACCAGCCTCAGCAAATTAGTGATGTCCTAAGCAACTTAGCGAGATCCTGTTTCAATTTTTTTTTTTTTAAAGTGTGTGACTCAGTGATTTAGCACTACTGGGTTCAATCCCAGGTACCCAAAACAAACCAAACCAAACATAATAGGCTACAGAAGTAAATGTAGGGAGAGGCAAAAAGGAGTAGAGATGAAATACAAACATAATAAGTGAGGAGTATTTTAAAGACATTTTGTGGAGAAAGAAAGGAAAGAGATCTGGCTGTAGCTTCAGTAAGAAAAATAATGAGGAGAGAGTAAAAATCTGGGGCATAGTAAAGGAATCTTCTTGGAGGTCTGAAGCTTTCTGAGCCCCACTTGGGCCATGATGGCTGGAATTGACTTGTTAGTCCAGAAACTGGATATGGTGATGTATTTTTCCTGGTGAAATCTGCCAGTCTGGGAACAAGACCACAAAAGTTTTCTGGAATTAGAAACTTCTTTGACTGAAGGAATTTTCTGTGAGACACTTTCAGAGGGTGGAGGAATTGGGGATCTGTTGCAGTACATTCGGTTTCAGAAATCTCTGTCCATAGATGGCCAACTCCATTGCTCTGGGTCCAAGGTGAGGCAGAATCTCATGGAGGAAGAGTGTAAGATAAATGTGTACTAGGAAAAAAAAAAGTATATATTCATGTTGGAAGGCAAATTCATGTTGCCTATTTAACATAATATTGAGAATCTCTCTCAATGCTCTCAAGTAATAATTTATTCCTAGCTTTGAACCTCAGGTTGTAGGTTAAACATGTTCTTATTTTTCACTCACTGGATGTAGAGCACATCTTTTCCATTTTTTCTAGAAAGGCACTTTGAGGGGCAATTTGCTTTCAAATGTTAAAGGCCTCTGGGTGTTAAAGAGAAAGTGGTAGCATTTTCCCAGATGGATAACTTCACAGGAGGTCTGGGAAGCTGACCTACTTCTGAATTTACAGCTGAATTAATCCAGGTGGTAAGTGAGTGTGAAACATTTTTTTGAGGCTCATAAAATTGACATAGCCATCTTTTAAAACATTCTAAAATTCTGACATTTATATGATTTGTCCAGCATACATTCTAAAGTTTTTTCATGTTGGTTTAATTTAATTCAGCAATTGACCACCTACTCCTTATTTTATACTGCCAGGCACTGGACATACAATAAGTAAAAGCAGTACCAGGAAAGCTTCTGTATGTGATTAATGATTTTTCTTCAGATAAATCATTATAGTTTTTTTCAACTCCCGACACTCTCCAATTATTGTACAAATGACTTCTTTTGTTATGGAAATCATGCTCTGCAAGAGACCAAGCACCACTTGCAGTATTGGAGAACAGTTTATTTTCCCTGGCGGACCCTGATGAACTAGTGCTCTTAAATTCTGGGTCCCACGCTGAGGTTACATGGGGCTTTTATAGGAAATTTGACATTTCTTAACCATTACAACATTGGTGGGTTTGAATTCTTGACCTACGCGACCAAGGGCCATTATGCACAGAGAATTTACAATAACTAGTTCACACCTGTAAAACAAAGACAGTAAAACACCTGCGAATAATATTGTTCAGTGGCCTTAACCCAAGGCAGCAGTAACTCAAGATAACTTTGATTTTATCTCCTGAAGAGTTACACTTCTAAGAACTAAGCCAACGATGTTATAGTTTAGACAGCAGTTAATTGGCATAGTAACCTACAATTTATACTTGCAATTAGGTGAGGTAGGTACATTCCTACAGAGTTCTGAAAGTTACAAAGTATAGGAAAATTAACTCTTTCCTTAGGCATTGTCTTCATCATAATGTTCTTATAATTTCATTTTATAATCAGGTCTGGTATCTCCTTCACACTTTATTAACCTATCTTCTTAGATACCATGACCTTCAGTTTTCTCATCCTTTTCTACGGACAGGGATAAACTTCCAGTTTTTCTTTTTCTCCATCTCATTCATTCTCTAGGATAGCATAAATAAATGGGAAGTTCGAGACCAAAAGTTCATAAAGGTTAAATTGTCACGAATATTCCAAAAAGCCAGCTTACTCTCTGACTTCGGAGGAATAAACAGGAAACTATCGATCCCATACAGGAAATGACCTGCTTTGAGGGCAAAGAAGGTGCCTTGGATTTCCCTCATTTTCCTTCTAAACTCATTTCCGGGTTTCAATCAATTTGTTCCTTCCCTACAATAACAGAGTTCGGCTGACTCTTCCCAGTCCCACCCTAGACTTCGATCCTGAGAGGACGGCCAATAGGATATTCCCGTGAGTGGACATTTTCATTCCTAGTTTTACATCATCGCAAATCTTAACCAATCAGTAGTTAGGGTAGGAGGTACGAAAATAATCTTCACTTCCTCCCCAAACGGCCACTCCTCTCTTGCGACACCCTGTGATAGATTGCCTACGTAGCCAATCAACGAGCAACGTTGGGCCCAGCCCATTCTAAAGCCAACCAACTAAAATGAAGATGGGGAATTGGGGCGGAGAATGGAAAACTTGCCCCCTCTTTTGGAAATGATTCGAAGAGGTGCGTCCCGAACCAGTGAAGTTACAACTTCTTACCAACGATGGCTGCATACTGAACCGTTTATATCATGTGCCGGGTTCAGTTCCCTTCTGATCCTATCCCAAGATGGGCCCCGCGACTCACATTCCACCCCGCCCCCGTTTCAGTATAACTCATCCCCATCCCTGAAGTCCTTCGGAAAAAAGTCCCAACCCCAAAGGCCCGTGCTTCACTCGCTGCTCTCCCGCGGGGTAGAGTAAGGGGAAGGAGAGATCCTGCCGCCTTTGGCGCCAATCTTTCCATTCAGTGCGCCTCTCCTCCCTTCTCCACGTTCCCGGGCCCGGGCTGACACGGGGGTGGGAGGAGCTGAGTGCCTGTTCGGTTTGGGGAAAGGCTAGAGCTTCTTAAGGTGGAACAGAGCAACTGGGAGGCTGGGCCTCACAACTGGGATGTGTGGGCCTCCTGCTTACCAATTGCGCTTCCCACAGGATCTCTCATTCTCTAGTCCCTGAACCTTGGTTCTAGTCTTGTATTTGGGAGAATAACCAGGTTAGGTAGAGGATATAGAATTTAGGTAGAAAGCTTTAAAGTATAAACTCTGTAAGGGAAATACAAACTATGAAGAGAACTTTTTAGTCACTGTTGTTATTGTCTTTTTCTTTCCCCCGTGATTACCTTTTGAAAGTGGCAGAATTTTTCTGATGTGTGAATATAAGCTTAGAATATCATAAATGAATCGTTTGTAAACCTTAGTTACTAGTTTCCCAGGAAGCTGGAAGAGTAACAGTAGTATACTGCAGGTGCTTGTGGTCTTGGCTCTGATCCAGTCTTCTCCTTTGTAAAATAAAGATTATAATTCCCTTTTTCTAAATTTGATATGAGTAATAAAAGAAGTTGTGTAAAAGAAAACACACTGTAATGGGTGCAAACTAACATTAGGTAATTTTTCTACACACAAAGCATACCATAATAGTGAACACTTTGATAGTTCTTATTATGTTCCAGCATTTTTAACAGTATTTAAAAAAATTATCTATTTGTAAATTTTCAAGCTCAAGAGTAGAGAGAATAGTTTTGTTTTTTTTTTCTCGATGTTGTAACAAGCAACATTGGCCAATCTTTTATCACCTCTACTTTTCTCCTCCGTCCCAAATTATCTTGGAGCAAATTTCAAGACTCTATACTCCCATATGCATTTTTAAAAAATTAAGATTCTTAAAAAATAACAATGAATGCATCTAAAGTATGAGAATTTTTTATATTATCAAGTCAGTATTGACATTTTACTAGCTGTCTCATATTTCATCCAGTTAAATTGTTCTAGTGAGGCTCTCCTAAAAAGTCCACATATTGCATTTGACGGACATGTCTCTTGGTCCATATATATTGCAATTGGTTGATATGTCTTCTGAGTCTCTTTAATTTCTAGGGTACCACTCTCTCAGGCAGTTATCTAAGTGCATTACATGTATGAAGTCACATAATCCCTCTGAAATACTATGAAATAGGTATCATCATTAACCCCATTTTACTGATGAAGAAACTGAGTAATAAAGCAGTTACTACAACTGTGATTTACCCGAGTTCTCTCAGTTATTAAGGGTCAAAGCTAAGATCTGAATACATGAATCTTATCCACTATATTATATATTTCAAGTAGTACACTGGTCTTTAAAAAAAAAAGCTTCCAAAGTGTGTATTGTGGCATGTTAGTTACAGATGTTATCAAGAGTTTTGGTTAAAGTGGACTAATACTCAAATAATTATATAACATGCTTTATAATAAAGAGGTGTGGATCCTTACATTTTCTTTCTTTCTTTCTTTATTAAATATTTTTTAGTTGTTGATAGACCTTTATTTATTTGTATGTGGTGCCAAGAATCGAACCCAGTGCCTCACACATGCTAGGCAAGTGCTCTACTGCTGAGCCACAACCCCAGCTCTATTAATTAATTAATTGATTGGTTTTGGTATGTTTCAGAGGCTTTTTAAAATCTTGCTCCACTCAGGGGCTCGGAAGGCTAAGGTAGGAGGTTTGCGAGTTCAAAGCCAGCCTCAGCAATGGCGAGGCACTAAGCAACTGAGACCCTGTCTCTAAATAAAATACAAAATAGGTCTGAGGATATGCCTCAGTGGCTGAGTATCCCTGACTTCAATCCCTAGTACCTGACTCTCACCCCAAATTATGTCTAGATGGTTGTAGTGGCACATTCTGGTGATCTCAGCAACTCAGCTGGCTGAGGCAAGAGAATCACAAGTTCAAGGCCAGCCTCAGCAACTTAATCAGGCCCTAAGCAATTTAGTGAGGACCATGTCTCAAAAAGGGATGGGGATGTAGTTCAGTGGTTAAGAACCTCTGGGTTCAATTCTTAGTGCCCCCCCCAAAAAAAAATATTTGCAAAATACCTAAATGGTAAGGAAAATATAAAAATAAAACAACTCCTATTTGTACTTCCAGAGTTAAATATAATTACTTTTTAAAGATTTATTATTTATTTATTTGCTTTTTTATTGTTGTTATTATCATTATTATTATTATTATTTTTCGTGTGTGTGTGTGTGTGTATGTGGTATTGGGGATTGAACTCAAGGGTGTTTAACCACTGAGTTACTTTTCAAAAAATTTTTATTGGGACATTAAGTTCCTGAGGCTGGTCTTGAACTTGTGATCATCTTGCCTAAATCTCTCTAGTCTCTGGGTTTACAGGTGTGGGCTATCACACCTGGCTGAGGATGACTTATTTCTCACAGTTCAGGACAATGAAATAGAGGTTAAGAGCCATGTTAGATTTAAGTGTTTTAATGTAAAATAATATTCCTAATTATGTGAACAATGTGTGACTTATATGAACTAATTATGTGAATTTAGACACAGTTAATATCTCTAAGTTATAGTTTTTCCCACCTATAAAAGGTATAATTACAGTGTCTTATAGTATTGCCAGAAGAACAAAATGTAAATGCCTAGTTTGATTTTTTTTTTTTTTTTTTGTAGTACTGGGGATCAAACCCAGGGCCTCATGCTTGCTAGGCAATTACTCTACCACTGAGCTATATCCTCTACACTTTTAAATTTGATTTACTTACTTATTTGGTACTAGGGATTGAATGAACCCAGGGGCACTCAAACACTGAGCCACATTCCCAACTTTTTTTTTAATTATTATTTTTTTAGATGTTGATGAACCTTTATTTATTTATTTATTTATTTATATATGGTGCTGAGAATTTAATCCAGTGCCTCACAGAAGCTAGGCAAGCACTCTACCACTAAGCCACAAACTCCAGCCCCTCCCAGGCCTTTTTATAATTTATTTAGAGACAGGATCTCCCTAAGTTGCTTAGGGCATTGATAAATTGCTGAGGCTGGCTTTGAACTTGTTATCCTCTTGTTTCTGCCTCCCCAGTCACTGAGATAACAGGCTTGCGCCACTGTACCTGGCTTAAATTTTATTTTGAGACAGGGTCTCATTAAATTTCTCAGGCTGGTATCAAATTTGTAATCCTCCTGCCTCAGACTCCCCAGTTACTGGGAATACATACCTGCACCACAGCTCCCAGTTATGTGCTTAGCTTTAATGCCTGCACATTATAAATATAATGTAATTATATGTACATATAATTTAATTAAATTGTAGTAGTGTATATTTAGAAGACACAAAGACTTTATTATCTAAGGCAAAATTCAGTCATCAAGTTGTAAGCTTGTGTATGCAGTCTTTTTTGGGCAATTCAAATATTAAATGAGCAATCTTTTTGCCTTCATGTTATTTTGTATAGAACATAGAGTAATTTGAGAAAAGCTTAATAAGCCAGAGGATAAAATACATAAGTGTTTGTAGCAGAATCATGAATGGAGGAAGAAAGCTGAAGTAGGCTTCCTAGTGGCATTTTTCTGTCTCTGATAGATTGTTGTGGAAGGGGCAGAGGATATGTTTTATTTATTTATTTTGGGTACTGTGGAGTGAACCCCAGGACACTTAATCACTGGGCCACATCCCCAGTCATATATATATATATATATATATATATATATATATATATATATTTTTTTTTTTTTTTTTTTTTTTTTTTGTTTTTTATTTTTTTTTTTTTTTTTGAGATAGGGTCTCATTAAGTTGCTTAGGGCCTGGATAAGATTGCTGAGGCTGGTCTTAAACTTGTGATCCTACTGGCTCACCCTTCCAAGTCACTGGGATTACAGGCATGTGCCACCACAACTGGCTAAGGATGTGCTTTAAAAAACATTCTATATGACACTCAGGACAAGATATAGTTTAAAAGCATTTCACATAAATTAACTCTTTTGGTAATTGCAACAGCCTTATTGGGTAGCAGGAAGAGTGTCTGGTCCCCGCCCCGCCTTCCGCGACCAAGATTCCAGAGAACAGGGCCCTTGCACAAGTTTGTAGAGCAGGAAAAGCGAACAGGACCCACATCTTCTGATGTTTATTTGTCAGTTGCTAGATCACTTATCCTTTTATGTGTCCACTCACTGAGAAGAGTAGTTACTGAACTCCAGGATGATATCAGGGCAAAATATTAACCTTCCTTCAATCTCTATAATAATTTATAAACTGCCTCGGGGAAAAGAGAAACTCATCAAAGAAATTTCTGAGAAAACAAGTTGCTCATCTGTATAGAGAATGCAGTAGAATGGGAAAAGATCAGAGTACCAGAATTAGTGTGTAAATTGGAATTGACAGTGTAAGGTGTGCACGAGGGACTCTCCAGACAGGGAGCAGTGGGATGACACCCCAGGTAGACCGCAAGCGGCACGGAGCGCAGCGGCGGGGAGGCGGCTGGAGGTGAGTGCGCAGCGGCTGGGAGTTAGTAGGCTTCAGCGGGAGGCAGCCGTGCGGTTGCCCGGGTGGAGCGCACACCCCGGCGGCTAGCCGCTCGGAGCCGACCCGCTCCTCCTTAACCTGCGCGGGGAGGCGGCGGCCCGGCGGGCGGGGAAGGGGGAGGGGCGCGGAGTGCGGCGCGGAGGCCGGGGAGGAGCCGGGGCCTGCAGCGGAGCCGAGCCGAGCCCGAGCCCGAGCCGAGCCCTGACACTGTCCGTCCGCTTTCTGGCTCCCCGGGAGCCCCGACTGGACGGAGCCCGAGAGGTGGCAGCGCGGGGAGCCCCACGCGCCGAAGGCAAAGGACGGGACGGGACAGGACTAGAGGAGGCGCTGCCGCCACAGTAGCCAGTGACGGGAGTCGGAAGCCGCGGCCTCCCGGACCCTGCTGCCCAGGCCAGCCAGGGGAGAGCGGGGAGTACGAAAACCCCACCCTCTGGGACACCCCCAGGAACGTGGGCGGGAGCGGGGACCAAAGAACCCTCTCTCCTGTTGGAGGGAAGACCCCAAGCCCCTTGGGTGAAGGAAAGAAAAGCTCGTGGTAGGAGACGCAGCTCGCCTTCCTAGAGGCGAGGAAACCCCCATAGTGGCTCCGGAGAAGACCCCCAGAAGAGAAAGAGGCGATCCTTCCTTAAGGAACGGAGGGGGACCGCCCCTGCGAGTCTCCACCCTCCAAACACACTCTAAACAGTTCAAGACTTTTGAGGCAAAGAGAAAGGGGAATATGCCAATGGAGTAGACACCCTCCATCCCACTCAGTACTCACGGAGGAGAGGCGTCCTTAGGTTCAGTAGCAAAGTACACTATAGTGAGAGGAGGAATTGGCTTTCCGCCTTTCTCCAGAAAGGCGGAAACTTCCTTTCACCTAGACAGTGGAACCAGGTAGAGCCCCTCCGCTCAGATTTCCAGCAGACAGAAAGAACCCTCCGCCCCTGAAACATTCAGTTTGGGGGCGAGAGGGACTCCCCCAAGGGGGAGGAGACAACTCCTGGTTGGGAGAGGCTCCTCCCCTCCTCCCCAGGGTAACTGGCAGGGTGTGGGGGGTGTGCCACCTTCCCCAGGTAGGACCTCCTTCTCCTCCTCCACCCATTCCCCCCTCGGCTCCTCATCCTCAGGGGACCCAGTTCCCCTCACAAGCTTGGGAGGTTCCGTCAAGGACAGGAAGACCCACTGAGGATGAGAACAGTCACCTGCCTCTGAAAAGGGGAATCCCTCCAACCTCAAACTCCAGTACCAGGTGGTTTCCTCCCTTTGCCGGGGGACTGGTGGAGACAGGTTAGTGTTTTATTTTTCTCTGTCATCTTTAGGCACCAGTGGGCTTAGGGGCCTGAAATGATAGATCTTGGGTTTCGTTACTGGGGAAAGTAGAGTGATAACTCAGAATCCTCTGGAAAATGTGTTCTGAAGGAACTTCTTAATTGGAACCTACATCTTGTTGCAAAAACTCAGAGAAATGGGTTTGTTAGTGTTTGGGAGGACTAAAGGGATGAATCTCATTTAAGGTCCCTAGGGAAGTGGATGTTTTCATACTGAGGACAACTGGATCACTGATAACAGTTGCTTTTTCAGAACTGCATGCATACTGTGTAACAGTGATGGACCTAACCCAACTGGATTCCATAGCACCCTCCTCCATCCTTGGGCCTTTTCACCTGGAGAGTGGGCCCTCATCAAAGTCATGGTGGCAGCTCCTGTCCTAGGCTTGTCTAGGGCATGCCTAGGTCAGCTAAGTATCTGCCAGAAGTGTCCTTTCCAACCCACTGTGATTACTCTTTACAAGCAAGAGAAACAGTCTGTCCCCACTAACCCTACTTCAGATACTGGGAGAACTCCTCTCCTGACATTCTCATTCCTAATTGGATGTATCTCTCTCCCTACAAAATCCACAGGGAAAATATGAATCCCCTGAGGCAAAAAGACAGTGTACAGAGGACTGACATTCCTGAGTTAAAGTTCTTCACAAATACTGGATCTGCCCCAGTCCTGTACAGTTCTCCTGCCCTTCGCTGACAGTTCATCAGCAAATCAGGTCCTTGATAGAGAGGAGGGTTGCTACTAACCCCTCTCCAATCTTCCATCTGAATAGTTGACCAATAGGAGATTTTACCTCTAAGGAAATTAGTTTCTTTCCAGAAAAGCACCTAATAGTCTTTATCCTCTGTTTCTTGTTCAGTTCAGGTCCCTGGAACTTAAGTTTCCCACATAAGATAGGAAATTATCAATGTTCAGAATCTTCAGAAAAAGCAGGAAAAAGGTGCTAGGAAATTTTCCTAGATGAGCCTGGGCTGTGTTTTTAGTAGATCTCTGTCTTTCAACTTGAGGTCACTTAACTGGGTGCTAGCTTTCCTGCTTCACCATTGGAACATACCTTATCTTCAGTAAGGGGCATTGTACTCCACAGCAAGGCCATGTGAAAGGCTTCCTCCCCTTGGGATATTTTTTCCCCTTTCTGTCTAGGTTGCTGGTGGTCTGCTTAAGTCCCTAGGTATGGGTACTTGTTCCTGGAAGATACCTGTTGTTGGTGGTATATGAGACAGGGCTATACCCCACAGATTTGTATGGCTGCGTGGGTAGAATGTTGCACATGTGTTTCTTAACTGAGGTGAGTGTTGCTCCCGTCTTTTGTCAGTGTTTTGCATAAGTGTGTGGAGAACAGGGACATGTGCTTTTCAGACTATACTCCAATTCCCTAGAGTTGTGTTTCTGATAGGCCTCTAGGAGCAGATGATCTGTTGCAAAGACCTGGAAAAGGTGGTGGTTAAGGATGCCCAACTGGGAAGAAAGGCTTGGCATCCCCCTGTCAGTGGGAGCCTCATTCCACGTAGCAGGGAAGCCCAGTCTCAGGTTGGGACCATTTCTTCTAGGACCAATAAGAGAGCTTCATCCCTGATACCTCTAGTCTCAAAAGGATGAGAATCCCTGACTTCTAAGTCTAGAACTGCCTCCTCCACTTTTCAAACAGTCTGTTTCTTCCAAAGCACTTTACCAGATGCTGGAGAGCAGCTTCTGAATAGTTTAGAGAGAAGTGTATCCTAACAGCTCCAGATATACTACTATTGCACAGTTTAACTGGCCCTGCTTGATCTGAGTTTCCCTAACCCTCTTTGCCTCTAAGGAATCAATTAGAAGCAGTTGGCTGTTGGGTTGGATTAATTAAGAGGTAGAGATTGCTATTTTCCAGACCATGTCTTACAACTACAACTAGTTCCCCCTGAAAGATAAGAGATAGTATTTCCCCTATGCCTTCATCCTTGGGTTTTTTTCAATCTTAGTATTATTCAGTATGGGGGTATGATCTCTAAAGGAAAAGTTTGTAATTCTGACATTGTATACTTGGTATTGGCTTGCTGATTCCAGTCTTACCTGTTCATGGTCTGTCAGTTCTCTAATTTTTAAATTCTAATATTCTCTTTGCACACATGCTGAGCCTACACTTTACTACTATGCTACACTTCCAGCCCACTAATAGTCTTTATATTTCCCCATTCAAAAATAACAGCTATACTTAGGTAGCACATACAAAGTACTTAAAAATACTAACTTTAAATCCCTATAACAATACTTATTGGTACAATAATTGTCTGTTTTATAGGTGAAGAAACTAAGACACAGAGAGATTAGGTGATTTGCTTGAGGGGCACAGTCAGAGGTAATGGAGCTGGCATTGAAACACAGGCAGTCTGACTGATATGAGGTACACTTAGCCATTGTCTTATTAGTTTTGGAATTATGAACAGGGTAGAAAGTTATTACTCCTTAACACCTGATTTTGGCACTACACAGAGAATAATTACAAGTCATTGAGATAAAATGAGAAGTAAACTGTGTCAGTTATTTTGGATCTTACACATCTCACCCAGGATTGGTCTTTAGCTCTCACAGAATGTGTTCCTGTTTTTCTCTGCCTTTCCCCTGGTACTGTAGTCCTTATTAGACGTCCTGTGGATATGAAGGAGCCTGCCCTTTGGCTGACTTTCCCCGTTTCTGCGGGTATTTCCTTTCAGTCTTCCAGCACACACGGAAGAATGTGGCCTGACTCAGGTTCTGCCCAAGCCCAGTGGCACAAGGCCCACCTGGAATGAGAGGTCTGGGTAACTAGGTTGGTTGGACTCAGAAATGGAACTACCTCTTGTTTGCCTTTCTAATAATAGCCCTGAACATTAGCCTCGTGCCATTATTTTGGGGAGTGTGGAATGTGTGGTAGCCAGGAGCTCATTAAGCTTCATTCCCTTCCCTCCAGGGATAAAGCTTTGGCAGGGTTGATGACTTCATCTCTTATTGAAGGGGAAACTGAGGTATTAAGACTTCATCAGAGAGCAAGGGATTGTTAGGGACACTCTGAGTCAGTGGCAGAGTTGCCAATACAGCTGAGGAACCTCTGTCTCCTAAGTTCTATACATGAGGCTGCCCTTCAAGAATGGGGAAATGAATGGGGTGAGGATGTGGGACAGGTTTTAGGAGAGTGGTGCTGGAAGACCAGAAGGATCTGACCCTGCAAGCTTCTTATAGCTGGTAAGATTGGGTATATTTTGAGTACTGGGTTTTCTATCTGGAGAACTGATTGGGAGGGTCCAGGAGAAAGGTTAAATTTAACCTCAGTGACCTAAACTGGTGCTGGGGTAAGGGTATAAAAGAGCACAGAACAACTAGTAAAAGGTTGATTGCTTCCATTCAGGAGTCATGGTGATTGGCATGTGTCAAAAGGATTCTCTAAGGACTCTAAACACTTTAAATTCACTCTCATGCTCTTTTTCAGTTTTGAAAGAGTTTCAGATGAAATATCAACTGGAGATCTTTGTGCTCTTAAGATGGGTACAGTGGCACATGCCTGTAATCCCAGGGGTTCCGGAGGCTGAGGCAGGATGATCTCAAGTTCAAAGCCAGCTTCAGCAATTTAGCAAGGCCCTAAGCAACTTAGCGAGACCCTGTCTCTAAGTAAAATCTGAAAAAGAAAAAAAGGCGGGGGGGGGGGGGAGCTGGTTAAGCACCCCTGGGTTCAATCCTTTGTATAAATAAATAAATAAGATTTCCTAGGGATCTTCAGCAGAAATTAAGAATGAAATATACCTGTAGCCTCCACATTTGGGAGCTTGGGACTTGAGTACAGGAGTTTGAGGCCAGCTTGGGCAACATAGTGAGAACTTGTCTCAAGCAAAGAAAATAGGGTTAAACTTCTTTAAGGATCTCTTCTTCTGGGCAGGACCCAGGAAATCCCTGGTCATTGAGAACCTGCTAATTGACATGTTGCTCTTCAGCTGGGGAAACCCAGCTATGGGACTGAGATATTGTCTAAACTCCCTGCTATAGCCCAGAGGCTGGGAGAAGATATGTGGTTGCCTGGAATGATTAAGTGTCTCTATTATTTTCCAGGTTTCCATGGTTTTGGGCAAGGTGGTGGTATTAGGATGAAAAGGAAGATGATGGGAAGAGGAGCTAAGGATAAAGGGGAAACCTTTTATGATGTTATTTATAGGCCCCCCTCCCCCATATTTTTTTCTTCTGTCAAACAATTCTTGTGTTGCAATTGGGTCTTTGACTGCCCAGGCCCCTGAGGCACTAAGGTGTTTTCTTTAGCCTCGGGAATGGGTGTGTTACTGGGTGGCCGCTCTGCTCTGTGCTTGTGTGTACAGGCAGATTTTATGGATGGGACCTTGGAGAAGAGGGGAGTGAGAATGCTGACCCTTAGGGGAAAGAGTAGGTGTCAAGGACAGAAGAATTACTACTTAAAAGAGAGCCTGAAAGATGTACTGGGGTCAGGAGAAGGGTTGGGGGGAGTCCTATCTGAAATTGAGTTTTGACCTGCAAAATATGTAGAACTGTGTGTACTTGTTTGTATATGCTCATGCATGTATCTGGCTGTAGATTTAGACATCACCCATCTAATATATTTCTGTCCAGGATCTGAACTCAGACATTCTAGACCTGACTCCTCTAGAGCAATGTCCTGGTGGGACTGAGGGAAAAAAAAGCCAGCTGGAATCTGGCAGCTGTGCAGGCACAAACCTGTTAGGCAGCAAGTGCTTAGGGGGTTGCTGGCATCATCTCTAAGGGAGTGCCAAATGGCTACCCAGTGGTCCTTGCCAGCCTTTCTGGACCCCGTAGTACAGATATCACCCCTAATTCTTCACCTTCCCCCACCAAGATGTCACTGTAGCTACACCTCTCTGGCAGCAAGAGCACCCAGGCAGTGTGGTTGGCAGTTGGGCGTGCAAACATCAAGCGTGGGCGGTCTGGCAGCCTTAGGAGTTTGCATGGAGGTGCGACGAGCCTGCGTGCCTGGCTGGGAAGGAAGGGGGGAGGAGGAGGGTGGGGAAGGGGAGCCGGCTCTTAGCCCCAGAGTGGCTATTTTTAGTCAGGCTATCTGATTGTTACCGATGCGCACACAGCTGGGTGTCTCCCTAGCTCTGTTAAGCCCAGCAGGCTGAGAGGTGGGAGGTTCTTGCTGATGATTTCTTCCTGGTACTAGTGTCTGTGGGCAGAAGCAAGCAAGGGGTAGCTTTAAAGGTGTGAGGGTAGCAGTGTACTCAAGATCTGTTTCTTCTGTGTGACTTTATGCTCTGTTGGTAATGTATGCTATATATCTAATTGTGACCTTAGTGTATGTGTCCCATTGTTTATCTGTCAATTTTGTATTTGGTCTTTGCTGGTTGTCATATATAATTTATATCTGGGATATGTCTAATATGTTTCGTAAGCACATGTGTCTGGGATAAAAAGGCTGAATGCTCATTATGAATGTGATATGAAGCAACTTTAAAAATGTTGGTATGTGCTTCATTAGTATACATCTTTGTTTACTTGGACTGTTTTTTCTTTACATGTACACTTGTGCTATCTACCTGTGGATATGTATGCAAATATAACAAGTGTCATATAATTGGAGAATGGACTAATTTTACCTGCTTAGTAGTAGTAGTTTTTTTTTTTTTTTAATGTATCCCTGCAAAGTTCTGAAATGTTATGTTGTAAGGCTGTATGTAAGGACAATTGAGGGCATATCTCAATTTGGTGTGAGGTTTGGTGTCTGGTCTTGCCTGCAGGGAGATGCCATGTGGGGATGCTTTGCATTAAGATGTAGGATAAGTAGCAGTTGGTCTTCTGGTATTTGATTGATGACATATCTGCCTGGGAGTTCAGGTCACTGGTTGAGGGCCATCCCAGGAAAGGAATTGCCTATGGAATTATAGTGGAAGAAATACTTCCCTTAAACATTAGGAATCTGGTATTTCTTTTCCCTAGTCATTGGAGGTAACACTCATTTATTTTTCTGCCCACCTTTGTCCTCTTCTCTGCAGAGCCCAGAAGTAACATGGCTTCTGACCTAGAAAGTAGCCTCACTTCCATAGACTGGCTTCCCCAGCTGACCCTCCGAGCTACCATTGAGAAGCTTGGGAGTGCCTCCCAGGCTGGAACTCCAGGGGGCAGCCGCAAGTGTTCCCCAGGCTCACCCACAGATCCTAATGCCACCCTGAGCAAAGATGAGGCAGCAGTCCACCAGGATGGCAAACCCCGATACAGCTATGCTACACTCATCACCTATGCCATCAACTCCTCTCCAGCCAAGAAGATGACCCTCAGTGAGATTTACCGTTGGATCTGTGATAACTTCCCCTATTACAAGAATGCTGGCATTGGTTGGAAGGTAGGACTGCTTCTAGAACTTATTTTTAGCCTTTGTTTTCTCTTTTTCTGTACCTGTTTCCTTTCTACAATCTAGTTCAGTTTGCTCTGCCTTGTCTCAAAGATACGTCAATTTAAAAATCTCATATCTTTTACCTTTTTCAGAGTTGAATGATTTTCTTAAGATATATCAGGGAAACTCCAGTGATGCCAAGCCATTAAGTATAGTTATGGATGCAAGATGCTGTTGTACATCATACCCTGTTTTCTTCTGATTCCTCAAAAAGGACACTCATTCATTTCACAAATATTTATTGCCATTCTACCATGTTCAAGTCACTGTGCAAGGCACAGCATTACTCCCTCCTACCTAGAGGTAGGAAACCCATCAAATTTTCATAGCTTCATTGCACATAGTCATCATCTTCTGAAAAATCATATACCAAGAAAAAAATATATAATTAGGTCTTTGATCAACAGCTATTCCACCAAGCACATAATGAGAGGTTAAGTTATTTGCCTAGAGTTGAAGGAAGAAGGGGTTGTTCTTCCAAGCAAAGAAGGAAAGCTGATGTTATAATTTCTTGGAGGAATAGCTCGTTTGCCAATTGTTGATTAGGAATGGGAATTCTATGTAGTTTTCTCACTCTTTAAATCAGTTAACATACAAACTGGACAGTAAACTGGAGACTATTGAAAGCATTTTGCTTTACTATTGTAAATATGTCTCCACTAGACCACAACCTTCAACCCCATCAAAGACATATAAATAATATTTTTCTTTGGTCCAGGTGTGACCATTCTAGGAGCTATTGAGAAAGTGAAGGTAATTTGTGCCTTTGTTTTATCCCTGATTTATATTTGTTATAGTCTATATAAACAGGTTAAAAAAAAATACCTTTATTTATTTTTTTGTGGTGCTGAGGATCGAATCCAGGGCCTCACAAGGTGAGCGCTTTAATGCTGAGCCACAACCCCAGTCCTATATAAACAGTTTTTAAAACACTTTTTCTTTTGCATTGATAGGGTGGATTGAAGAACTGGACAGATGTGATATTTTGGGGGTGGTGGGTACCTGGAATTGAACCATCCAGGGGCACTTAACTACTGAGCCACATCTTCAGCCCTTTTTTATATTTTATTTAGAAATACCGCCTCACTGAATTGCTTAGGGCCTCGATAAATTGCTGAGGCTGACCTTGAACTCACAATCCTCCTGCCTCAGCCTCCCAAGCCGCTGGAATTACAGGTGTGCACCACCGTGTCCAGTGGCAGATATAATTTTTCAGGCATTTATGTACCTATTGTCAGTTAGTGGAAAAGTTGAAAAACCATATAATGAGGTTTGCAGATGAGAGGATGGCTATAATGATGATTGATCTCACTCATCAATTTAATTTCTTCATTTTCTTATCCAGTTGCTTCTGCTTTGTGAAATGTAATTTTATCCATCAGTGTAGTTAATAGCTGCTAAATGTACCCTGATCCTTGAACGTTATTGTGCATTATGTTCTTTTATGTCCTATTGAAAAATATTTTGCTTCACACATTCTTGCATCTAAATTTCTTCTCTGCTTCCCTAGAATTCCATTCGGCACAACCTCTCTCTCAACAAGTGTTTCCGGAAGGTGCCTAGACCTCGGGATGACCCTGGGAAGGTGAGTACTGCAATGGAAATCATAGGGAAGAGCAGGAAAGAGAGTGAAGTAGTTGATGGCCCAGAGTCCTGTGGCTGTTTTAATTACCCAGAAGAGGAAATCATGTTAATTAGAGAAGCATCTTTATTTTTCCTCAAAGGAAGAGCTTAGTTGACAAGCTTGTGGAACCCCATTAGAATGGGTGACTAAGGAAGATTGTGAAATCTTTTTTTTTTTTTTCAATAGGACTATTTGATAAAGTTGATTTTGAGACTCCCTTTCTTTTTGTGGCATTCTTTTTCTGTTTAGATGTAAAAGATTTACTTCATAACCTTTGTAGAAACTTTTCTGTACAAAAATCTTTACTTTTTACACTGAGATTTCATCTCACACTAGTCAGAATGGCAGTCATCAAGAATACAAATAATAAATGCTAGAGGGATTGGAGAAAAAAGGAACACTTTACACTGTTGGTGGGACTATAAATGAGTACAACCACTGTAGAAATTGGTATGGAGGTTCCTCAAAAGACTAGGCATGGGGGGCTAGGGATTTAGCTCAGTTGGTAGAATGTTTGTCTCACATGCACAAAGCCCTGGGTTAAATCCCCAGCACCAAAAAAAAAAAAAAAAAAAAAAAAGACTAGGCATGGAACTACCATATGACCCAGCTATACCATTACTTAGTATTTATCCTGAAGAATTAAAATCATCATACTACAGTGATACATACATACCCATGTTTATAGCAGCACAATTCACAATGGCCAAACCATGGAACCAGCCTAGGTGACCATCAACAGATGAATGGATTTAAAAAATGTGCTATGAAGCAAATTTTTTATTCATAAAGAAAAATGAAATTATTTCATTTGCAGGAAAATGGATGGAATTTGAGAGCATTATGTTAAGTGAAATAAGTCAAACTAGGAAGATCAAGGATTGTATGTTTTCTCTCATGTGGAAGCTAGAAAGGAAAAGGAAAGGGCTAGGCTGGTGGAGTCTCATGAAAATGAAAATGAAATCAGCAGAGTAAAGGGACCAATGCAGGGAGAAGGGAGAGAAAGGGGAGGTACTGGGGAATGATATTGGCTAAGTTATATTCTTATATTGTATGCATGTATGAATATATAACAACAAATCCCATCATTATGTACAACTATAATACACAAAAAATTATGGAAAAAATCTCTAGTTTTTACTTTCATAAGAAAAGGGATGGAACATTCTCCCAATTTGCAAAAGCAGATGCTAAAGGCCAGATGAGTTTTGCCTCAGGTCACAAAGAAAGGGAATGACTGTCTCTGGCCATTTTGCCATTCTTTGCACTAAATATTGTACTTCTAACCCTTCAGAATAATTGAGGCCTGTGTTTGGACCACAGAACTACCTCTGGCACACACAGTGAGCTTTTAGGACAGTTCTCTTTCTCATTAATACTAGTGCCCTCAGGATTCTATGTAAATGTCTAGAAGGTTGGCATGGTGGTGTAAGCCTATAATCCCAGTGATTTGGGATGCTAAAGAAGGAGGATCACAAGTTTGCCTCAGCAACTTAGTGAGACTTTGTCTCAAAATAAAAATTAAAAAGAACTAAAGTATAGCTCTTAGTGGTAGAGTGCCCCTGAGTTCAAACCCTGATATCAAAGAAAAAAACAATAATCTGTGTAAATGCTCAGTCTTGTCCCCCCTCATCCCCCCACATTCCTTGGTATTGGACATCAAATCCAGAGCCTCATGCGGGCTAGGTAAGCATTCTATCATTGAGCTACACCCCTGAGCTCCAGGCCTATTTCTTAATATGGCTGTTGGACTATCTGTTTTCAAAAGTGGGAACTTCTATAGGTAATTATTTTTTTCTCTGTGGGGATGGGTTCTTCTTCCAGGGCTCTTATTGGACAATAGATACCTGCCCTGACATTTCCCGAAAGAGAAGACACCCTCCAGATGATGATGTAAGTTTCCTCTTCCTGGGAAGATGCCATTTCTGAGTCAGTTGCTCTTTCTACCTCCTTTTCTGGATATTCAGTCTTTTCCAAAGCTAAGATGAATGCCAGCAGAGGGGAGACAATGGGTTTGGGGAAGATATTTCAGTTTTTCTTACAGATTTCTTTTCTGTTGCAACCCTCAGCTATCCCAAGACTCACCAGAACAGGAAGCAAGCAAGAGCCCACGGGGAGGTGTTCCAGGGAGTGGAGAAGCCTCGCTGCCTCCTGAAGGGAATCCTCAGATGTCACTTCAGAGCCCCACATCTATGGCCAGCTATAGCCAGGTAGGAAGTAAAAGTAGTAGGGGCCACAGGGATGGATAGCTGGGTAGATGGTTGTGTGGCTTCAGATAGGTTTCTGTTCAAAATTACATATTATTTGTGATGTTAGGAAGATAAAGTTGAAAAGAAGGGTAAAGCAAAAGAGAAAGTCCAAAGAGGGAAAGAGAGGAAGAGAAAGATATAACAGAACTTTCAGGTAAATCAGGGGGGAAAAAGGTGAGAAGGAGGAAGGGGAGTAAAAAAAAAAACATGATTAAGAAAAGAAGGGTATGAATGTAATGTAGGGAAAGGGCAGTCAAAGAAGAAATGGAAAATGAGGTCAGACTCAAGAACAACCAATGAGTAAAGAAGGAGAAAATGATGCTGTTCCACTGAATATATGAGAGGAACAAGAGGATAGGCAGAAGAGCCTGGTGACCATAAAGTGTTGTATTGTTCCCTCAGCTGGGACACAGATCAGGACTTTCTTACCTGTTTTTGCAGGGAACAGGGTCTGTGGATGGTGGAGCAGTGGCATCAGGGGCTCCAAGCCGAGAAAGCTCTGAGGGTCCCCCTCCCCTCTATAACACCAACCACGACTTCAAATTCTCCTACTCAGAGATCAACTTTCAGGATCTAAGCTGGTCCTTCCGCAACCTCTATAAATCCATGCTGGAGAAGTCCTCTTCTTCTTCGCAGCATGGTGAGTCTGGAGTTGGGATGGGTGCCTATATTCTCTTACATTTTTGTATAAGTGATGACATTCTCTTCTCTCCCTCATTTGTTATCTTTGCATGCAAAGAGATTGATCACTGTTCACAGTTAACATATCAGGAACTAAAACTGTTTGGAATAGGACAACTGTTTCAGAGAGTAGTCTGGATTGTAAGCTTCAAAAAATGAGTTGAAGGATTGCCCAGTCTAGAACCAGGGACAATGATTATTATTATTAATTTTTTTTTTCTGGTTGCTGGGCTGGAACCCTTGGCCAATTTGTTTTAGGCAAGCACTCACCCCTGAGCTACATCCTAAGCCCATAGGGGATTTTATAGCTGTGAGCAAGTCAATTAGAGGATGACCACTAGGGGACAGCAGTAGTATCCTCTCCCCAAGAGTCCCTGTATTTCATTATAAGAATTTATTTTTATATTATTGTATATTTATATTTATATTCTTATAATGAAAACTTTCAAACATATGCTAAATAGAGTGAATAGTATAATAAACCCCCATGCTTCCATCACCCAAATTTTAAGTTACCAATATTTGTTAAGCTTGCTTTATTTACCACCCAGTTTTTTTGAAATTAGAATAATTTCATGCAATTTCCAGACAGTGTTTCATTCAATCCATAAATATAATTTCAGTAATATGTTGCCAAACTATAAAGGCTTTTCCTTTATTTATTTACCATGCTACCATCATTCCTAACACAATTAATAATGCTTTTTTAATATCACTTAATATCTTAACCATTTGCACATTTCTGTAATTATCACATGAGAATGACTTAAGAGTTGTTATTGGGAGTCTCCTTGAGAGACCATCTCATTCAGCCCTCTGCATTTCCTGAATTTTTTGAAAAAGAAACTAGAGGTAGAGGTGAGAGATATGAGTTCAAGTAAGGCAGATCCCTTCTCCTTCTGTGGCCCTTTGTAGGCTGCAGGGACTTAACAAAATGATAACAACTTGTTAGAAGTAATTTTTTTGGAAAATATATATTAATCATCATGAATTCTTTCTTTTTATATCCCAGGGGATCAGTATCTATAGTATGTTGCAAGATTGTATTAATTATTTGAGAAATTAATCCAACTCAGGTGGTCCGTTGACTGGAGAGAGGGAGTTTGGAGAAAATGTCTGAAACAAAGTAAAACATTATATTAGATGGAGTGAGGACAACGAAGTGTTCACTCAAGTTCAGCTGTGACTAAAAGCCTCTAGCCGAAGTCTAGATCTTCCCTGTCTAGTCTTCTTGGGAGGCGAATCCATTCCCATTCTGCTTTTCACCCAAGCTCCATTTGTTGGTAGTGAAATCAAGAAGGCAGTAACAGTAGAGGAGTAAAGAGATGCCCAGTTGCTCAGTTTTACTTATAATTTACTTTTTAAATTTCACTTGCTATCTGATTTTTGAAACCGTGATTCCTGGCCTATACCAAAATCCCTGAAAAATAGTATAAAAACTTTGTACACACTGACCTTTTAATTAAAATATAAGCAGTCACCACACTAACAATGCCCTGCTCTAACCTAACTGCCTTCTTGTCTGTTATCTGCCAGGAGAGACACAGGTATCCTTGCAGTTACACACTATGTCCTTTCTTCCTTCCTTTGTTTCTTTCTTTTTTTCTTCCTCCTCCCTCTCTCCTGCTCTCCTTCCCCAGCCCCCCTCTCTTTTTTTTCATTGGAGATTGAACCCAGGGGCACTCTACTACTGAGGTATGTCTCCAACCTTTTTTATTTTTATTTTTTTTTTTGTTTTGATATACAGAGTCATTTTAAGTTGCCCAGGCCAGCTTTGAACTTACCATCTTCCTGCCTCAGCCTCCTAAATTGCTGGGATTATAGGCAGAGGACCCCAGAATACTCTTTTTCTTTTAATTCTATAGTTTCTGTCTGAGGTCTCCTATCTTGACCCAGAGAAAATCCCATTTAGGGAAACATGCATTGCCTAAGTCATATGCCTGCTTCTTCCTCACCCTGCAGGCTTTTCGTCTCTCCTGGGGGACATGACACCTTCTAACAACTACTACATGTATCAGCAGCAACAGCCGCCGCCAACTCAACAGCAGCAGCAGCAGCCATCGCAGCCACAGCCACCTCCTCAACAGTCACAGCCGCAGTCGCAGCAGGCACCAGCCCAGGGCCCCTCAACTGTGGGGGGTGCCCCTCCACTGCATACCCCAAGCCCTGATGGTTGTACCCCACCAGGGGCAAAGCAAACTGGGCCTGAAAGCTATGGGCCTCCCCCTGTGATGGCCATGCATCCTCCCACACTGCAGCACGGGGGCTACCATCCTCATCAGCACCATCCCCATCCCCACCCTGCCCAGCAGCAGCCACCACCACAACAGCAGGCACAAGGCCAGGCACCTATCAACAGTACTGGCTTTGGTGAGTAAAGAGGGTGTAGAGAAAGCTTAGGAAAGGGTGAATGAGCCCCTAGTTCCGACCCTGCTATGGAGATGCACTTGTTAAGAAGTCAATAGTGAGTCTTTTAGCCTCAGTCTCCCAAGAGCTTAACTGAGCATATTGAAGTTGCTGCCCACAGCTCTATTTTGTGGAGGATTTGGAGATTAAGGATTTAATTATTTCCCTTCCATATTTGTGAATCATTTAGGAGTTTTTTTGATGTTCTCCTGCCTATGATCTGTGCTGTACTTAAATCACCAGGTAGGGAGAGTCCAAAAATGTCTTGGTAATGCAACTGGTAACCTGTGTAGGTGCAAGACTCTTGCATGTAGTCAGTCTGTTATCAGTTGACTGCTATCTTATACTTTTACTTTATCTCACTGACTACTTTCTTCTTTACAGCCTTTCCTCCTGATTGGTGCTCCAATATTGACTCCTTAAAGGAAAGCTTTAAGATGGTGAATCGGCTTAACTGGTCCAGCATTGAGCAGTCCCAGTTCTCAGGTTAGTCCTTAAAGGATGATGACTGGAAGGAAGAGAATAAGCAGAAAAATCCAATAGAATGAGAAAGGGGTGGGTAAGTGAAACTCGAAGTGTTTCATTATTTCCCCTCCACATTACACAGATGAATATTGTTAATGTGTTCAAATTAATTTTGCCCAACTCAAAATATGGCAATGATTTCTTCTAGTCAGTTTTATCTTTAAGAGAGAGAAGGCTCTTAGAATTTAGAAACCCTGGGCCACTATTTTGTAGTTTTGTCACCATTTCCTGACAGTGTGACCAAAGCTAAGTCATTCAGTCACTTTGAAAGTTTGTTTTATTCATTGGTAAGATGGAAATAATAATAAGAGTTTAGTAAGGAACAAACAGAATGGGAGCTTGAAAATGTAGAGCACTTAAATTGAATTGTTAATACATATCATCAGTGGTATTGACTTTTGATGTGGGTGGAACAGTGAAATAGGGATGGGTCTGGAAGGAACTCTGGTGCCTCTGCAAAGTTAGCATTGCTTGCTTTCCTATTTGTAGAACTCATGGAGAGTCTACGACAGGCAGAGCAAAAGAACTGGACCCTTGACCAGCATCACATTGCCAATCTGTGTGACTCCCTCAACCACTTCCTAACTCAGACTGGTCACATGCCTCCTCAAGGGGGCTCCCACCGGCCACCAGCCCCTGCTCGGATTACTGACTCCTGTGCCCTCACCAGTGGCAAACAGGAGACAGCCATGAACCAAGGTATTGTACAAAGTAAGCTCCAAGATAGAGACTATGATGAAAAGGAAGGTGGGAAAAAGATAAAAAAGAATCACTGTTGAATCAGTGAATCCTGAAAATGCAAAGAAATAGACTGGTCCTTTTCAGACCTTGGTTTAGGAGATCAAATTACCTATGAAAAAGGAGAAAATTTATTAGAGAAAGTCCCCATTACAAATTGTGTCTCAGTAAATTTCACACTTTTAGTATCCATTCTTTTTCACCCTAGGTGGTGAGGACTGATGACTTGTTGAAAGCCTTCATGCCCACAGGATTTATAGAATAAGGCAGGGAAGGGAGACAGAGATTGATGGGAAGAAAGCTGCAAATTTTTTCTCCCTGTTTTGTTGAGTACAGTGATTCCCCGATCAAGTAACTCTTGTCTTGTTTTGGTAGTGAATTCCTATGGACATCCACAAGGCCCCCACCTCTACCCTGGTCCATCACCAATGTACCCAATCCCTACCCAGGACTCAGCAGGATATAATCGCCCAGGTAAGAGCCAGAAAGTGTATTTCACTCTCTTGAAGTATTAACTACAACTGAGCACTGAAATAACTGAGCGCTGTCTTCCCTGTTAAGTTGTATTGCTTTCTTCTGACTCAGCCTGCTCTCTGTCCTAGTGCTTGCACCTGCTAGAAGGGAGTGAGCCGTCATGATTCCCATGTCCCAAAGATAGGGATGGGCTTCTTACTTGCTAGGAGGGATATATCAGGGGAGACTTTAAAAAGTCTCATGTATTTTTTAATTTAGCACTGCTGGGAATAAAATCCAGGGCCTTGTGCATGCTAGATAAGCACTCTATTATTAAGCTATACCCCCAGCCCTAGATTTACTTTAAAACTAACTTGTAACTACAATAATGAAAGAAAATAAAAGCATAAATTTAAGCAAGAGATATGTGTGGGATATTTATGTCTAGCTTTAGAATCTAGATGGAAAATATATTTATTTAGGCAAATAAAATTAATTTTTTAGTATAAACATACTTGCTTTGGGCACGTGGCTATTTTCCTGTCACCTGATGAGTAATATCAGAGGCTTGAGATTAAACTATCTTTTTTGATTTTTGTGGTGTTAGGGATTGAGCCCAGGCCCTGATGCATGTTAGGTAAGCACTTCCCTCCTGAGATATACCCCTAGCCTGGGATTGAATTTTAATGGTGGGCGTGTAAGTGAGGGAGACACTGAATTGCCATAGATAGTATAAAATGAACAGTCCTTTACGTTTAAATACATTTTAGGAAAATCACTCTTGTCATCCTATATAATCATTAATGTTTTCAGTTTTGGTGGTGACATCTGACTCTTTATCCATGTAATACAAATTTCTTTTCTTATTTCTCTCTCTCTCTTTTTTTTTCTTTTTGTGGTACTAGGTATTGAACCCAGGGAAGCTCTACCTCTGAGCTACATATCCATCCCTTCTTATTCCTTCTTATTTTTTATTCTGAGACAGAATTTCACTAAGTTATCCAGACTGGCCTTGAACTTGTGATTTGTCTGCTTCAGCTTTTCCTAAGTAGCTGGGATTACAGGGGTGTGCCAGTGTGCCCAGCTTATAAATTCAAATTTATGTGCTGCTCTTTCATGTAATAATACATTGTATATTATATTATCATTACTGATAGTCTTCATAATTTTTGTGCGTATGGTGCTGGGAATTTAACCCAGGGCTTTGTGCGTGCAAGGCAAGCACTCTACCAACTGAGCTATATCCTCAGCACCATAATATAATTTTTGATGGCACGATATTTTATTGTCATATAATCTAGCTTCCTCTAGTTTATTTTCTAAGCTCTTACTGAAGTGGTGGCCTGCAACAAAAATAACTCTAACCTGATAAAGTAATAGCTGCACCAGCTGAGCACTTTCCATCTAGACTGATGGAGCAGCTTCTCATCCAGTCTCCTTTTACTCTTTCTTTCTTCCTGACAGCACACCATATGGTCCCTCGGCCACCGGTCCCACCTCCTGGTGCCAGTGAGGAGATCCCTGATGACTTCGACTGGGACTTGATCACTTAATAGAGTGGACATCAGCCCCGGGTCTGGTGGTTAAGTCTGGCCACGAAGAAAGAGCAACCCTAGCCCGTCCCTTCTCCTGCTTGTATATAGATATATATCCACTTTTTGTTCTTTCTGTCAGAGAAGCCACCGCAAGATGCTGCCGAAGATAATTCCCTTTTTCCTTCCTCATTTTTCTCTTGTCCTTCCTGTTTTTCCCCTAATTTGTTTATTGTTATTCTAATTATGTTGTTTTTGTTATTATTATTATTATTATTATTGGTTATATACTGTCCCCAATCTCCTTTTCCTACACCATGGACTGTGTCTACCCCTTGCTAATTTAAAGTCATCAGGTTGGAAGACAAGGCCATGATAGCTGTAGAGAAAGGTTTCAATTTTTTGTTTACCTTTCTCTTCAAGAAACTCAATGCGAATCCCACCTTCTAGCTTTAAGTTGTTTGCTGTTCCTGTCTATTTCAGCTCAGGACTGGAGAGTCCACACAGTCGAGTAGAAGGGGTCTAAAACACTGCTTGGCAGCCATGAATTTGCAGGTTTTACTCAATGGTGCTAATTCTGTCCTCTGAGCTCGTCTCTGACCCTTTGTCCCATCAATCCTTACTTCTTCTGACAATCCTCATTCCCCATCAAGGATAAGATGGATGCTGGTTCAGGAGAGCGACAATAAAATCTTAGTGGAATTAGAGACTGGATTGGGTTGGGTAGAACACTGTGGAGAAGTGAATATAAATCGGTGTGAAATACGGTATATATTGCTGTGTCATGTAAGCTCTCATTGGCTTATTCCTAGCCCATTTTCTAAGGAAATTGGATTGGCCTTGGCTTGAACTCTTCTTCTATGGTTGTACATGAGGACAACTATTCAGCATAGGCTCAGCTTCTTGGAGATGATTTCAACTTAGTCATCTTGGCTTTTTAAAAATAATTCTCTCTGAAAATTAACGATGGCTCTGACTTTCATAGGTTGCCTTCATTACCTTTTCCCATGGAGCAAATATCATTTTGAGCTCTAGTTGTTTGCCCTAATATTTAAACTATCTTGTTTTCTTCCTTCATTTCCTGGGAGTCTCAAGAAAGAAAAAGTAAGGCATTCATACTGTGGGTTTCATTATGTCCTCGTTATGATATGGGAATCTCTTTCCTGCATCATAGCAGAATCACACTTATAGAATTGGTAGTGGAGGGTGGGGAGAGGAAAAAGGAGCTGGCATAGATTTGGATAGGGAATATTTCATTTATTTAATATATATAGGAAGATGCTACTCTTGAAATACAGATCATCAGGGCTAAAGCTTTTGCAATTAGCCTCTTGATAGGTGGAGGAAATTGGGAGAAGAGAGAAAATGATCTAGAAGAAAGAGTTCAGTGAGGACCAAGGGCAACTTCCAGAAGAAGTTACAGGGATAACTTGTCTCCTTCAACAAGGGATGGCCATGATTTATTGCTGCAAAGTTCGTAGTATATATTTAATATAACTTGTTGCATTTGAGTTAGGAGAGGGAAGAACAATTTTACTTCTATTTTTATTTCACTGAATTTTCCCTTTCTGAAAGCTGCAGGACAGAATGTATGGAATGGACACAGCCCTTTATGATTTCTACTGTTTGTTCATATCCTTTTATTTATCCATGTTTTCCAAGATATTGGACTTTCTAATCTCCTGCTTTTCCCCCTCATATACCCCTTTCCTTTCTTTGGAAGGGGGTTATATATGAGTTTGTTGGAGAAGTTCGGTGAGGCTGAAGTAAAGGGGCAAGATAGGGCAGTTAACTAAAGAGCACTTTATTTCTTTGAAGCCTTTGTAAGAAATAAATGGGGATGAGAGTAGATTGAATCCCTCATTGTGTTGGAGAGTACTTAGTGAGGTTGAAGTATGACACAATATTTTCCATTAGGGAGAGGAGCATTTCTTATAGAGGGAGGCAAAATGCCTTTGCCTGGTGTCCCTATGATAGGCATCTCTTCCTTATTCCTTCCATTCAAGGTACACCCTACATATAATTTCCCTTCAGTTCTCCCCAAGATTCTTTCTTTACAGATTAACACTCCTCTTTTCTAAAACCCCTTTCTACTCGGTTCCATACAGAGTTAGGAAGGGTAGGCTAAATCATACACACAAATGCCCCTTGTTCATCTGTGTCTTCTGAAAACTAGTTTCATTAAGAATCCCGGTGGTCAGCCAGAGTAACTGAAGTTTGGGGCTGGGACTGGAGATTGGCCAGTAGGTCACCTGAGATTCCAGCTTTTCTCCACCAAAATCAGCCTTGCTAAATGGTACAAGACAAATCTGACTCCCATTGGGCCTCAATTTCCCTTTCCCTCCATGAAATGGAAAGAATACTACTTTTTATTATTGGTCCAGCATTGCTGGACATGAAGTATAGTCATTGTTGTTGTATTGGGTGATGTGTGAAAATTGCAGGAGCTCACTGCCTAAATGAGGAAATAAGGGAGAAAGCAGAGGAGAGGGACAAAAGGAGCAAGTGTCTGGTATCAACCTAACCATCCCAGGTTTCCTCTCCTCAACCCCATGTTTCTGGTCTGGTGAGTCCTTTATACCACCCATAATGCTTTGCATTGGTGCAGGCTGGGAAGGGGTATATGGTCTTACAATTCGATGTTGTTGTTCTTGGGTTTTTTGGGTTTTTTTTTTTTTGCATGCTTTCTTAATAAAAAAAAAATGTTTCCAGTTTTATCTTACTAGTGTTTGTCTCCAATTTATTTTTGCCAGGTAGAACAGGAGAAATGTGAAAGCCTTTGGTTTCAGTTGTCCTTTGTCTCTTTCCCACACCTCACCACTGGGTTTCATTAGTTGACCTTTTTTTTTTTTTTTTTTAATGCCTTTAACAGTCCTTTTTTTAAATGCTATTAAATGTAGTGAACTTTTGTTGGGAGAGTCAGTAACCCCTTGCAGGTTCATGGTGGAGTAGTCCCACCTTTTAGTGTCCATTTAAAGGATGCATGAATTTCTGACACTTGAAAGGAACCAGGGGCAAAAAAATTTATTCACATGAAATACATAAGCAAATTAAATTGAAAAGCTATTACTGCAAATCTTACATCAGGTCAGACATTATTTCCTCACAAACAAAAAATTCCAAGTGGTTTGAAATTTTTCTGCACAGTATTTTACAACAAATTTGTAGTCTAGACCCTTACCTTAATTATTGAGCAAATCATTCTTAAAAGTCTAAAATGCTATGAGAGAAGATATTTTAATAACAAAGAAAATTCCAATGAATTGTGCAGAAATACTGTTTCTACACCATCTTAAAAAAAAGTTATGAGAGATTTTTGGAATAGGAAAACATTTTTTAAAGTTGAGATTTAAAACTGTAAAAATGACCAGAGTGTCAAAGTTCTAGTAGAACTCATTTTGTGCAATGAACATGAGGAAAGATTACTGTATAGTTTTGTTGTTTTTCGCCCTCCCCTTTTAAATGAAGAAAAGCTTTGCTTAAAAAATAAAATAAAATGCTATGTTGTAGTACAAACAAGCCAAAATTTCAAAGGTTTAACATGATGAAATACACAGAGGAAAGAAAAGGTGGCAGGAATTGAAAAAATGCTTTTTAAAAACCAAAGAAGGTTTACTGTGGTACTATTCACAATAGCTAAGATATGGAATCAGTCTAGATGCCCATTGACAATTGAATGGATAAAGACAATGTGGTATACATATACAATAGAGTATTTTTCAGTCATAAAGAGAAATGAAATCCTGTCATTTGCAGCAAAATGGAATGGAACTGAAAGACATTATGTTAAGGGAAATAAGCTATGCATAGAAAGACAAGTACTACATATTCTGTCTCATAGGTAGTGGTTAAAAAGTTGATATGAAAGTTATAATTACTATAGAAATTGGGAAGGGTGTGTGTGTGAGGTGTGGTGGGGGGGTGTGATGGGAAAAGAGTGGTTGGATTTGATCAGTGCATTCTGTATGCATGTATGGAAATAGCACAGCAAACCCCATTAATATGTACAATTAATATGTGTTCATAAATTTTTTAAAAAAAATAAGGAAAGCTATATAAGTTGTTGGAATATATAGGCAAATTAGAAGAAAAATTTGTGATCGTGAGCAAATTATGAAAGTTGGCATGTTGAATAAACTATTTTAGAAATAGGAAGATATCTGGATAAAAACCTTCATCTTTTAAAACAAGAAGTCATTTTATCATGTCTACAAAAACAGCTGCAAAAGCATATTACTTAGGAACATGGTCAATATCAGGAGAAATATCTAAAATTGTTACAAGGGTTATCTCTGGGAAATGAAAGTGGGAGTTGCGAGTTATTGGGCAATGGAATAGAAGGCCTCATTTTATTATAATCTTTAAATTCTTTAATAATTAAATGTGTATATTACTATTACTTGGTAAATATAAAGATTAATTTTAAAAACTTAAATGCTGGTGGGCATGGTAGCACACCCCTGTAATCCCAGGGGCCCCGGAGGCTGAGGCAGGAGAATTGTGTATTCAAAAGCCTCAGCAACTTACTGAGGCCCTAACCAACTTCAAGAGATCCTATCTCCAGAAATAAAAAGGGCTGTGGATGTGACTCAGTGGTTAATCACCTCTGGTTTCAATCCCTGGTAGTAAAATAATAATAGATACTTAAAAGCTATATCTGGTAATTTGGGCATGAAAGAGACCTGGAGCCATGTTTAAAACACTTTTTTGATGGTATTCCTGTCAGGGTTCTCAGTCATTTTTCAGTGAATCAAAGATATGCTGCTCCATCCTCCCTTCTCTTCCTCCTTTCATTTGAAATGAGTTCCTTGAAAACTATTAATTTGGGGCAAGCAGACTAATTAGAACCTTAAAGAATCAGGAGTTATGTGAAGCACAAAGTCTTATGTGAAAGAAGATTAAGAGGCAGGGGAACAATAAGGAATTAAGAAATTAAAAAGGAATGAAGATAGATGGTTTTATCAGTAGGCAGATAGAATCAACAAATAGAGAACTCCCCAAACCACAGTTTCCATGATATTTCATAAGTAAGTTTTTAGATGTATTCTAGATGCTCTTTAGTGGTAATCTTGGAAACTTTGACTTCCTGTATCCTGTATCAGGGGTATTCCCAGCAGCAGACATCTGGCATTGTACTCTGCTCCAGACTCAGGCGCATAACTCCTTGTTTTCACATGCTTTTTCTTTCTGCAACTTATTTTCATTGAAAACTGTCACCACCAACATCATAACAAAGCCATATAGAATAAGTGGTTATCTTCCATTCATGTAAGACAAGAAGAAATGGTCTTAGGTTGGTAATATGGAAAAGGATTTAGATAATGCTAAAGAAAAAACTTAGTGATGGAAACAGTTAAAAATAGAGTAGGCTGGGCATGGTAGTGCATGCCTTTAATTTCAGTTACTCAGGAGGCTGAGGCAGGAGGACTGCAAGTTCAAAGCCAGCCTCAGCAAATTAGTGAGGCCCTAAGCAATTTAATAAAACCCTGTCTCAAGAAAAAAAAATTGGGGGCTGGGAGAATATACCTCACTGGTAAAGCACCTCTGGGCTAAATTCCCTGTAAACCCCCCCCCCCCCCCACACACACACAAAAAGACTAGATTCTTATTTATCTCACATGGCTTAGGGATAGAAATACACTAATTTTTATAATGATTCTCCAATTTGGTGTTAATGAGAAGCAAGAGGGCCTGTTAAAACAATGGGCCTCATCTCCCAGAGATTCTGATTCATCCATGGAACCTTGAGTATTGAATTTCTAACAAGTTTCCATTCCAGTAGATGCTGATGCCAGTAATTTGAGACCACACTTTGAGAATTGCTAGATTGATTATTTGATGATTTCTGAAGTCTCCTGCTTGTCATAATCCCTCATTCTTTTACAAATACTCACCTAAAGACATCTACTTGGGTAGGTTGCTCTGTATTTTCACACACCTGTGCTGATGCTGTTTCTTTCTGTAAAGACTTTGTTTTGGAAACAACTGGTAGAGTGTGTGAGTTCCTCACTGAAGGCTGCCTCCAGAATACCCTTCACAGACTGCTTTGCTTTCTTCCTAAAATCTTTCCCCAAGAGGGCATAGAGGAAGGGATTGAAACAACTATTGGCAGATGCTAGAGCAAGGGCCACATTGTCCCAGGATAATAGAGTTCCTCTCAAGGAAGATCCTGGGTTAATAACCAGTAATAGGACTCCAACAATATGGTATGGGGTCCAGCAGACAAGAAATACAGTCACCACCATCACGGTCACTCGGAAAGTTTTGTTCCGAGACTTTGTCAGTTGGCTTCGTCGCATTCGAAAAACGATGATGCTGTAACAGCACACTATGATAATAAAAGGCAGCAAGAAACCCAACACTAACCTTGTAATGGTTATTATCATCATAGTTTTTTGCACTTGACTGTCACCAGGAAATTGGCTTAAATTATAATCCTGGAAATCTTGTGATTCCTCAGGTTCATATAAGTTATCACTATAAGCCCTGGGGTAGAGGTCTAAATCAGTAGGAAGAAAATTATTAGGGCTATGCAGTACATCGGTTTTATGATCTTCAGTGAGAAACCCACTGGGGCTTGCAGATGAAATATTAGGAGGCTTAAAATTATTGTAAGATGGATGTTGACTGGATAATCTTGCTGACTCCCCAGGGATCAAATCTCCAGAATGTCTTCGAAGTGTTTGAGATTGGAGGATGGTGGGGGCTGTCCAAGGATAATTGTTTGCTTGGAAAGAGGAAGAATTTAACTTATCATCCATTTTTCCAGGCTGCTGAACAATGGAGTTGGTGAAAGACCCATTTTCTAATTCATCTGGATCATAGGTGTAATCCGAATAATCTGAGCTGGTTAAATCAAAATTGTATATACACATTTTATAATCGTCTACAGTGAATGTTTCCCGGTGCATGAACACAGGAATACACATTGCAAAAGACATCATCCAAATACATCCACAAATAGCGAAGGCTGTCCTCACTCTTCGATGATTCTGACACCAGATTGGCTTGAGTACCATCAGACATCGGTCCACGCTAATGGCAGTAAGCAGGAAGACACTGGCAGACATGTTGAGGATGATGATGGAGGGGATAAGCTTGCACAGGAACCTGCCATAGGGCCAGTATCCATGGAGAGCTAAATGAGCCAGGGAGAAGGGCAAAGAGAGGCAGCAAAGAAAATCTGCCAGGGTGAGATGAAGAAACCAAACTGTGTTCACTGTCCGCTGCATCTTTAGGCCAGCCACCCACAACACCAGCCCATTGCCTGGCAATCCTAATAAAAAAGTGAGGCCAAGAATGACCATGGAGAGAATTATTTGGGGTTCATACAAAGGCTGGGAGAGTGGGTCAGTTGAGTTGGTCTCAGCAGAGAATGACTCCATTGCTAAACTTCTGCAAAAAGATGAAAGAAATGTTATAACTAACAGTATCTTTGTAAAATGTGTATTCTTAAAATCCTAACCTGCCTACATAATGATGTGGCACCACAAAGCCAGAAGGCCCTCACATGTTTTTGTTTATATTCCTTGATGTTTTAGGCATCTTTGCATCACTGTGACCAAAAGACCTGACAAAGAACAATTTAGGGAGAAGTTTGTTTTGGCTTATGGTTTCAGAGGTGAGGCAAAATTTCATGGCAGAGGAAAGCAGCTCAGGACATGGCAATCAGGAAGGAGAGGAGAGGGGATGAGAGGGGAGGGGAGGAAAGAGACTACTCCATTCACCAGAGTCAAAATATAAATTCCAAGGCATGCCCTCAGAGACCTACTTCCTTCAACCACACCTTATCTGCCTGAATCCAGTTAATCCAGAAAAGTGAATTAATCCACTGATTTGGTCACAACTCTCATAACCTAATCATTTCATCTCTGAACATTCTTGCATTGTCTCACACATGAGCTGTTGGAGGACACCACATATCCAAACCATAATAGTTGACTTCATACTAAACCACACAAAAACATTTTCTGACAGTTTAAAATCTGCTGGATAGATTTGAATGTGTATCAAAATATCAACTTCACTTAGAAGTCCATATCAATGCAAATTTATGATTCTTTTTTTTTTTTTTTGTACTTTTATCTCTCATTTTCCACTGACTCACTCCATGCTTCATGTCCCCAAAAACAAACAAGTAGGGGCTGGGTTGTGGCTCAGCAGTGGAGCGCTTGCCTCACATGTGAGGCACTGGGTTCAATCCTCAGCACCACATTAAAAAAATTAATAAACAAAATAAAGGTATTGTGTCCATTTACTATATATATATATATATATATATATATATATATATATATATATATATATTTTTTTTTTTTAAACAAATAAGTATGAGTAAACAAAAACTTCTGGAACTTGTGATCCCCAATCTGTGTTAATGAAAAGGCTTTTGGAAGCTTCACAATCTAAAATGATATGAAAAATTTTAAATTTATTTATTTTAATTTCTCTGATGGCAGAAGTTGGATCCATTTCCTTAAGCAGACTTTTAAAGGACTCAACTATCACAAAAAGAGGGAGTCGCCACTTGGTTTTGTCTTTCAGATGCAACTTCTTCTTTTACTATCAGATTTCTCAAGAGTTATTGATGCTCTTTGCATTGACTGCTTTCATCATTTCTTTCTTGTGTTTTAGAGTAAAATTTGGGGAAAATAGCTTTATTATTACAAAAGCAGAAAATAGGCATGAAGAGAGTTGGAAACAGACAAGTAAAATTAAGAAAATGAGCTGGCACGGTAGCTCATGCTTGTAATCCTAGTGGCTTGGGATGTTGAGGTAGGAGGATCTTGAGTTCAAAGCCACGCCTTAGTAACTTGGTGAGACCCAAGCACCTCAGTGAGATCCTGTCTCTAAATAAAATACAAATAAGAACTGGGGATGTGGCTCAGTGCCCCTGGCTTCAATCGCTGGTACCAAAAAAAAAAAAAAAAAGAAAGAAAGAAAAAAATGAAAATGTCATATCCACCAGTCAGTGATTACTATATCTTAATTTATATCCTTTGGATCTTTTTTTTCCATATATGTGTGTATACATATGTATATGCATTTTTTTTGTTAAACAAAGTTTAACAAAATTAGATCATACCATGAATATTTTTTTTTTAAATTTGAATTGTAAAACACACAACAAAATTTTTTAAATTTTTATTTATTTATTTTTTAGTTGTAGATGGACACAATATCTTTAATATTTATTTATTTATTTTTATGTGGTGCTGAGGATCAAACCCAGGGCCTCATGAGTGTGAGAGAAACTCTCTACCACTGAGTCATAAACCCAACCCACAACATAAAATTTACCATCTTAGTCTTTCCTTCCTTCCTTTCTCTCTCTCTCTCTCTCTCTTTTTCTTTCTCATATTGGGGATTAAATCCAGGGCCTTGTACATCCCCAGCTTTTTGATTTTTTTTTTTTTTTTAGTTATATTTGGACACAATATCTTTATTTTATTTATTTATTTTTTTGTGGTGCTGAAGATCGAACCCAGGGCCTTGCATATGCTAGGCAAGTGCTCCACTGCTGAGCTACAACCCCAGCCCCATCCCCAGCTTTTAAAAATTTTATTTGAGACAGGATTTCACTAAGTTGCCAAACTTGTGTTCCTCCTGCCTCAGACTCCTGAGTAGCTGCCATCATAGGTGTGTACCATTGCACTCTGCCTTAACCAGTATTAATAGTTCAGCAGTATTTACTGCATTCACATTGTTGCAAAACTAATGACCAGAACTTTTTCATATTGCAAAGCGGAAACAGTACCCATGAAGCAATTCCCAGTTTCCTCCTCTCCACTGCCCGCCCCCCACCCCCCACCCCCGCAACCAACATTCTTTCAATTTTTACAAATTTGACCACTTTACATACTTCATAGTCTTTTTCTTTTTGTGTCTGGCTTTTTCTTTTTTCATTGAGCATACTGCCTTTCATTTTGTGGAATGTGTCATTATTCCTTTCCTTTTTAAGGCTAATATTCCAATGCAAAAATGAGAGTTTATTTATGAAATTATCTGTCAGTGGACTTCAGATTCCTTTGACCTTTAGGCTGTTGTGAATAATGCAGCTATAAATAGGGGTGTAAATACATATTGTTTTATAAACTTGTTTATGTTTTCAGTTACCAGTCTTCACATTACACGGTATGATTGTACTTTAAGGAATATCTAGTCTTTGTCCAATTATTTGTCAACTGCCCCTAAAATATCTTTTATAATTGATTTATATGGAAGCTGGGGTTTTGGTTCAGTGGTAGAGTGCTTGCCTACCATGTGCAAGGCCCTGGGTTCGATCCTCAGCACCATATAAAAAATAAATAAAATAAAGGTCTTGTGTCCAACTACAACTAAAAAAAAAAAAAAAAAAAAGATTTATCCCTGACAATATCCAATCTAGAATCATACTTTACTATGGGGTGTTATATATCTTAAGTTTCTTAATTTAGCATAGTTTCTCTTTTCCAGGATGTTGGCTCTTTTGGGGGTACATTGTTCTGACCACTTCCTTCTTAACCTTTTTTTTTTTTTTAATTTTAATATTTATTTTTTAGTTTTCGGCAGACACAACGTCTTTGTTTGTATGTGGTGCTGAGGATAGAACCTGGGCCGCACGCATGCCAGGCGAGCGCGCTACCGCTTGAGCCACATCCCCAGCCCGTTTCTTAACCTTTTTAATTTACATACTGCCCCCATTACTTCTAGAGAACAAATCCAAACCTCTGTTTGTCTTCATCCTCCACAAGGTAAAATTTGTCATTCGGTATGCTAAGTCCTTAACAGTGTTCTCTTGGCCTCTGTGACATTATTCTCTCCTGGTTCTGAACATTCCTGTAAGTGTACACTACTTTCCCAAAGGATTCATTCTTCCAAATTAATGCAGTTTTCTTATTTCTTGGCTAATGCTGTTTACTTCTATCTGGAATTATGTCTTTCATTTAGCCTCTTCTTTCCTCCATCCTTAATCTCTGCCTATTGAAATATTACATATTCCTCAAGGTCAAGCTCGAATATTATATTTTCCTTGAAATAATTTCTTATAATGCCATTTAGAAATTAATTCTTCAGCATATTGATTGTGTGCGTTGAATCCTTTTTCATATTCTCTATGCAATGGCACATTTTTATCTTGTGTTATAATTATCAATTAAGATCATGGCTGTCTTATCTATCATTCTGGCCTTAAATTTCATGATGGTAAAAATAGTCTTCTGCATAAATAATTGTTCCACAGAATTTAACTCAGTACCTTATATGACATAAAGGCTAAATATAACTTCAACAGATGAGTGCTCACCTAGGGTTGACTTTGTTTTTTGGTACTGGGGCTTGAACTCAGGGGTGCTTAACCACTGAGCCACATGTCTATCCCTTTTTTATTTTGAGACAGGGTCTAAGTTGCTTAGGGCCTTGTTAAGTTGTTGAGGCTGGCTTTGAATTCGTGATCTTCCTGCCTCAGCCTTCTGGAATTACAGATATGCCTGGTTAGCTTTTTCTTTATCTTTAACTAAATTCAACATTGTAATTCTTATCCATTTAATCCTTACCATGGCTGCTTTCTTAATTCCTATGCTGTTGCTTCTAACTTCCTTTTTAAGTTCCTAATTCTTACTGGATACAATAATACTCTACATTTCTTTTTATAGAGGCCCAAAATTTTTTCGTGACTTGAAAGTAGTTCTGCTGAGTTAAACAAACATTTTTAAAGGGATATATAGGATTAGCAGAAGTGAAAATAACGTCAACAAAATACAAAAAAAAAAAAGAAATTATTCCCATTCTCCTTTCTGTGGCCTTTTCTACTCAAATATTCAAGTCCTATCATGAGCTCTTCCCTCTCTCTTGTGAATGGCAGCTACCTTGATCTATTGCACCATTTATGCAGAGATTCATACAGACTTATGCATAGATCCATAAAACAATGAAAGAAGGATAAAGTCATAGATTGCTAGGACTGAAAGAAAACTGAATAGTCATCTCTAGTTCTCCCTACTTTTGTAATTTTTGATACTGAAACTCAGTAGATTAGGTCACTTTTACACAACCACAACTCAGGAGGTTCTCAGATGCTACGTCCACTGAGTGTCAGGCCAATTTCTTTTTACTGTAAAGCATCACATAGCAAAAAACATACGGTATTTCTAGTAAAGGGCACTGCACAAACTGAAATAATAAGAGTTGAAAAGCGCAAAATTCCAATATGAGGGAAGTTACCTGTATGAGCTATATCATTACATATTGTCTGTCATGAAATGAAAGTATATATGAGACAAGCCTTAAAAGTCCTTCAGAGCAAGATTATGTTTTACATTTCTTTAAGCTTTAGCTAAAAAATACCACTGTGTTTAAGATTAGTAGAAAATTTTTCCCTTAGATTTTATTATAGAAGGGGTCAATAGTAATTAAAAGAATAAAATTCTGAAACTAAAATTCGTCTATGATAAGTAAAGGAAAACTATTTTATCCCAGAATCAAATAGTAATGATACAATGACAGAGCCAGTAGCAATAAGAAATGGGAAGAGTAGAAGAAAAAAAATAGGGAAATAAAATGAGAATTTCTGTGTGTGTATAAGTGTGTATAATCAATGATTAAAAAAAAAAAAAAAAACAAACCCAAAACTAATGGGGAAAACTGGAATCAAAGAGTAGGAGGGGAAACATAGACACTTTAAGAGGGAAAAATGAGCCAGGCACAGTGGTGCATGCCTGTAGTTCCAGCGACTTGGGAGGCTGAGGCAGGAGGATTGCAAGTTCAAAGCCAGCGCCAGCAACTTAGTGGGACCCTAGTGAGACCCTGTCACAAAATAAGAAATAACCGGGTGTGGTGGTGCACACCTGCAATTCCAGTGGCTCTGGAGGCTGAGGCAGGAGGACTGCAAGTTCAAAGCCAGCTTCAGTAAAAGCAAGGTGCTAAGCAACTCAGTGAGACCCTGTCTCTAAATAAAATACAAAATAGAGCTGGGAATGTGGCTCAGAGGTTGAGTGTCCCTGAGTTCAATCCCCAGTACCCAAAAATAAAGAATAAAAATAATAAAAAATAAAAAGGACTGGGAATATGACTCTGTAGTTAAGAACCCCTGGTTTCAATCACTGGTTACTGCCCCCCCCCCAAAAAAAAAATAGTTGGAGGGGATGGCACAAAAATTCACTATTATTTCCAGAATGAAGATGTTAAAAGCAGAGACAATTAGAATGTGAAATATTTAGAAAAATAAAATCAGACAAAGGATAAGACAAGAGAAATAAAAGGTGGGGAAGGAATAGAGGAAAGTAGGAGATGATAACCCTTATCTGCAATGAGCAAAGCAGGCTAAACACAAGGCATCAGATCAATTTAGGTATTCTTACCAAATAACCAAGACTGTAGCTAAAATCTTCAGCACCAATCTGTAGGTCCCCAGAAGTCCTAACTGACCTCCACACTTAGCCACAATGAAGTCATGAAATATTTTTAAGCAACTTGCTGAGTTCTCTCTCTTTTCCTTCTTTCTGTTTCCGATGGTAAAGTCAGCCTCATGATCTAGACCACTGTCTTGAGTTCAACAGGAAGAGTTTCTAAGTGAGTCATTTTAAAGTGGCTCAGATAAGAAAAGAAGAACAAAGTGAGAGAGTTCTAGTGAAATGTTTTTTTTTGCAGGACACAGAGTACAATTAGGGAAAGAGAACTTTTTTTTTTTTTTTAAAGAGAGAGAGAGAGAGAGAGAGAGAGAGAATTTTAATATTTATTTTTTAGTTTTCGGTGGACACAATATCTTTGTTTGTATGTGGTGCTGAGGATCGAATCCGGGCCGCATGCATGCCAGGCGAGCGTGCTACCACTTGAGCCACATCCCCAGCCCAAAAGAGAATTTTTGTACATAAACTTCCCATTTTTATGACTTTTGCTTTTGTTTTGCTTTGTGAATGCAAAAAACTGACCCTATTGAGATGGGAGGATTAGAATGAGGGTGGTTATAGAGAAATAACATGCATAAATGCTTTTAATTCATCTCAGATAACATCTCTTTGAGGTTTAGTATGTGTAAAAAAAAAAAAAAAACATGCCAGGGATAGGGCAGTGGCTCAGTGTGAAAGCGCTTGCCTAGCATGTGTGGGGCACTGGGTTCAATTCTCAGAACCATAAATAAACAAACAAACAAACAAGCAAATAAATAAAGGTCCTTTGATAAATAAATAAATAAATATGCCATACCAAAATCATGATAAATTAAACATTCTAGTTCATAGAAATTTACAATCAAGAGGGAATATGTATTCACATATGTACACACAGACTGTAGTATAACTCATACTTTGTGTAGTAATAGAAATGAAAATAGTACTAAAGTAATAGAACATAATAGGCAGGGGACAATATGGGAAAGTCTTAAGGCAGATATAAGATGTGAGCAAGTCCTTAAATAACTATAGAACTTCTAGAGGCAGAATAAAGTGAAAAGGTGAAAGCATATGTGAATCATAGCCAAAGGCAGGTAGGTGGGAGAGTGCAGCCAATGGTGGAATATGGTGAAAGTTGAGGTTATGATTCATCAGGAAGGAGTGCAAAAGACTGAAGATGACTCCTGTTTAAAGTACACACAGTAAGGAATTCTTCCTCCCTCACATCATTCTTTCACATATTTGTGAACACTGTTGTCTGATGAATTCTTCATTCCAAATTGATAAACGTATCTAAACAATGACATCAGCTCCTCCTCTTGTTTTCAGTCAAATCATCCACGTTGGTTTATTTTTGAAGCAGAAAGACCTAACAAAAATGCTAAGAACTGAATAGTGTTTAAGTTATTTCTATTGTTATTATAATCTAATTAAAAATAGTACATACATATAAAATGATGAATTGAAATAATGCAGAAATAGAAAAGATTAAAAAATGGAAGCTTTCATTTTTCAGTATGACTAGAAGTTATGTAACCCAAAGCTTGGTTCTCCTTCTCAATGCCAATCTAATAACAAAGCAAGGTCTTGAGAAAAAAAGGAAAAAGAAGATTTGTTGCTTTTCTAGCAAAGGAAAAACACAAGGGACTCCTGTCCCAAAGGTTTTAATTCTGCCCATCAGCAGGAACAGGGGGTTTTATAGAGGTGATTCAGAGAAAAAATGAAATTAGGGAGGAGAGATCAATCGGGAAGGAGAAGTTTAGGGAAAAGAAGATCAGGAAGGAGAAACTTAAGGAAAAGAAGATTGGGGAAAAAGAAAAAAAATGTAAATTTTAAAACCACAAGGAATATAGTCAAAGTATCAAGTGAACCCCTGTTACAGTAACAATTTTAAATAGACTAATGTTCATTCTTTCTGATTTTTTCTAAATATAGCACATTTTTTTTTAAAAAGTATAGTTTGTAAAAAAATGGGACTACAATTTATATGTGATTATATGACTTGGATTTTCATTTAATAATATATCAGGACAAATTTCTATGCATTTAATTATTTTTTGTTTTCTTTCCCTCTAATATTTGGAAATATTAAGTGACAAATGTATTCAGAGCACACACAAAAGAGTGACATGATTAGTGTGTGTGCTCATGTGTGTATTCTATTTATTTATTTATGGTACTGGGGTACTCAACCACTAAGCTACACCAAGAGCCCTTTTTATTTTGTGACAGTCTCACTATGCTGCCCAGGCTGTCCTTGAACTTGTAATCTTCTTGCCTTAACCTCCCCAGTAGCTGGGATTGATTATAGGCGTGCACCACCATGCTCAGTGATGAGCATATCTTTTAAACTTTCAGAAGATAAAGTTTTTACCACCATGTCCGATATCATAAACATGTACTTTGGTCCCACTATAAACACAATTTTCTGCTCTGTAGGGGATGCAGAAGCTTTGAGAAATCTATGTAATGATATACAGTGGGAACTGCTAGGAGGGTACAATATACTTGGGGAACATGGAATTCTTACTGAAGCAAACAAGAAGGTGATTCATTGAAGAAGCAGCACTTGAGCTGGGCTTTAAGAAAGAATACAATTTGACAGAAAAATAGTAGTGCTTAAATAATAATTTATCTGTTTCTCTGTTCTACTAGACCATGAGTTTGGATCTCCAGTGCCCAGTATAAAATGATTAGGCACCAATGCATGAATAAATGTTTGAAAATGATGTTGACATCTGAATATTATTCAGAGAGTTCATATGAGTCCTTAAAGTTTTTTTTCTGATGTGGATTCAGTTTTATTGATTTCATTTCTTTAAAGATTATATAGCACTTCAAACCACTTTGAGAAACTCTCAGCTGTGATTCCTGGGTTTTCAGTTCAGGAAGGAAAATATTTTTTTCCTTTTCTTTTGTTTTTGGAGATAGGGTCCCACTATATTATAGCCCAGATTTGCCTTGAACTCCCCATCCTCCTGCCTCAGTCTCCTGAGTAGCTGGGATTGTAGGCCCAGGTCACTGTCTCTGCCTGGGAGATTTTATTCATTTGTTGTTTATTTATTTATTTTTTAGGTGCAGGGCTGCAACCCAGGACTGTACATACACTCAGCAAGCAAGCACTCTACCATTGTGCTATATCATCCCATCATGGGAAGGAAATTATTGAAAGCATCTTGTGAATAGTGTTTCTGTTTTTGGATGTATTAAGTAAGTATAAATATTTTGTATATTGACATGAAAAACTCTAGGGGAATTTATATGTTTCACTTCTGTTTTTTTTTAATATCTAAATATAAATTTCTAAGCAGAGATTAGATGCCTTGGGTAAAAATGAAATCTTTTTCTTTTTTTCTTTTTGGTACCAGGGATTGAACCCAGTGTGCTTAGCCACTGAGCCACATCTTTAGGACTATTTATTTATTTATTTAGAGACAGGGTCTCACTCAGTTGCTGAGACTGGCTTTGAACTTTCTATCCTCCTGCCTCAACCTTGCTGATTACTGGGATTACGGTGGTGACTGGCTAAAAATAAAATCTTGAATATATATTAAAAGATAGCTATGAATCATTAATTAATTCTATATTGTCATTGATGGAGATCTACATTAAAGTTCATTTGGACAAAATAAAAATTTTAGAATCATAGAATTTCTAGCCTATTTTGTCTGAGAGATTTAATAATAAACATATGAGAAAGTTACTGTCTTTAAGGACCTCCGGGGAAATGATTAGATCCATTATTAGATCATGTGAAAAAAATCTATATTCTAAATAAATGTAACCAAACACAAAAACTGTGGATGACACAGATAAATTCTATTACTGGTCAGTAAAGGGAAGTAAAGTTGGTGGTTAAAATTAACTGGAGGCAGGGTATAGTGGAGCACGCCTATAATCCCAGCTGCTCAGGAGGCTGAGGCAGGAGGATCAAAAGTTCAAAGGCAGCCTCAGCAATTTAGTGAGGCCCTAAGCACCTCAGTGAGACCCTGTCTTTACATAAAATACAAAAAAGGGCTGGGGATGTAGCTCAGTAATTAAGCACTCCGGGTTTAATCCTCAGTAACCCCCCAAAAGAGAAAATTTATAATTAAAAAAATTTGAAACAAAAGCAAGAAGAGAGAAAGGAAAATCAGTTACCTTCTGATTCCAGTATCAGCAGACAACTCTGGGGGGGCTCCTGCAATGGAGATGCAGGTTTGGCATGGCTGCTGGCAGCTGTGGGTTCCAGCACGATTACTGGTTCTTAGAGCAGCAGTAGAAGAGGCAATAGGACTACAAGTTCCTAGACTCTTGTTAAGGTGCAGCAAGAGCCTCTAACCACATTTGCCCATTCTAGTTTATATTCTTTTTTTAAAAAATTATTTATTTATTCTAATTTATTATATATGATGGCAGAATGCAATTCATTTCATATTACACATATAGAGCACAATTTTTTAAGTCACTGATTGTACACAAAGTATTTTCACACCATTTGTGTCTTCATATATGTACTTAGGGTAATGATATCTAAATCATTTAACCATCATTCCTACCCTCTTGCCCCCTCCCTCCCCCTCCTTCCTAGTTTATATTCTTTTATATTTTTATTTTCCAATTCTAGGGAAGCAAACTTCTGCAGTTTTTTTGTTTGTTTGTTTTTGTACTGGAGATTGAATTTAGGGGCACTCAACCACTGAGCCACATCCCCAGCCCTATTTTGTATTTTATTTAGAGACAGGGTCTCACTGAGTTGCCTAGAACCTCACTAAATTGCTGAGGCTGGTTTTGAACTCGAGATCTTCCTGTCTCAGCCTTCCAAGCTGGTGAGATTATAGGTTGTGCCGCCATTCCCGTCTGCAATTTTTAATGTAGTAGTATATTATAGTAGGTGACTCTCAAAAATGTAGGTCAAGCGTGCGGCCCGGGTTCGATACTCAGCACCACATACAAAAATGTAGGTCAAGATAAATTTTTGAGTCAATTACAGACAGGATCTGGTTAAGTTGCTTAGAACCTTTCTAAATTGCTGAGGCTGGCCTCAAACTCACAATCATGCCTCAGACTCCTGAGCTGCTGAGATTATAGGTGTGCACCACTGAGCGCAACTTTAAAATCTTTTTGATTCATTAATATTGACTTTCTAACAACAACACTATAACTTATGCCTGGAAAAGGTTTATCTCACATACT